AGAATAGCTAAGAGCATTATTATGATCTGGCCTTAGACTAAGAATAGCTAAGAGCGTTGTTATGATCTGGCCCACATTAAGAATAATTTAAGAGCACTATTGGATTAATATCTGAATTGAATAAAATGTGTTGATATGAACTGAATAATACCAAAACTGTGAATGTCTAAAATGAACATTGTGTGCATGATATCAAATGATTTGATTATGAATTTAGATTCAGTTTATATGGATGTTCGACGCATTAGATATGCTTACTCAGCTTTACCGTTGAGCGTGTAGTGTGTTTTATTTGCTACACGCAGGTAAGCAGAAAGCACAATGTGATCCTGGCGGCAGATGGGGCGAGATTGTCGGGATGGATGTGACAAGTTTTGAAACAATTTATGATATGTCAATATTAAAATCGCTTCCGCAATATTGTTGAATACTCCGTACTGTATATGTTATGAAAAATATTATTGGGATTAATAAAGTGTGTTTGAAAAGTTTTAAATTTTTACGATTACCAAGTTAAATACTTTAGTCCGAATAGGGCTGCAGACCTGGACGGATTAGGGTGTTACAGTGATCCCCACCCATATCAATTGGGCGGAGCACCAAGAGAAACCACGCATGTGTCTGTAGAATCCCAAACATATTAGAATATGACTACATGTATAATTTATCATGTTTTTGACAATAAGTAATGCAACTATTGTGTGAAGTAAGAATATTAGTGATATGACGAATACACTAATATTCTAATTTTCAAGCATGAAGCTCTTTCCTAATTATTGAGAAAGTGTGAAATTCCAAGGCAATTCTGGAATCATCAATCAGAGAATCAGTATTCAAAGAATAATTACAAATCATCTTGAAAAGGCAAACAGTGACAAAACAACAAGTGTTATCTAACACGTTCATCCAATCACTACAATATGATAAAAACATATATCATTATTATACATAAGTGTGATATGCATGTTTACGGTTATAGGAATGCATACGCCATGTGAAACCAGCTTGTTCATGTTATGTTAGTGAGAGCAACTCCATTAAGGATCGCTAATGAGAGTTCAAATTTTGAAACTATAATTTCATATTCATCTAAAAAACCTAGAATGATGATTATGATTATAACCAGTTTCCAAAATACCATTATGTAAAAATGTCAAACTTGAAAATAATTTGTTCTAGCTTGTACACAACGAAGCGTAATTTGTGAAACCAACATTCCAGACAAAGTCGTCTGAGAATGATTCTAGAAGAATTGCAAAAGGTAAATTACCCCACATTCACGAAACGCAACTCATACAAGAACTCTTGAAAACTCCTACAACACGGCAAGAGCAGGTCTAAGAGTATATTCGACGCAAGTCTCCATGAAAGAAATCCAAACACGTTACATCTACCATCTGCATATATATCTTTTCTCGAAAGAGAACATGTCATAATCATGACACTCAACAAAAGAAAGAGAAAACAACTTCTCAAAATTTGTGTTTTACAAAAACAATGAATATTCATGATTTTGGTACATCACTGTTTTAAATAACTTCACCTAAGGAAATTTCGGGGACGAAATTTCTTTAAGGGGGGAAGAAATGTAACGCCACATGATATGGCCTAAAATTTATTATAAACAAAAGTAGTTTTGAATATCATTTTGGTCCAATAAAGAATATTTTTACGTTTGACCAAATATGAAGGGATTTTCAAAATAATGACTTTTTGTTAAAAACTTATTTTTATGGATATGTCTCGAAGAGACGAATCCAACGATACATTTTATGAACTAAACTGATTTATAGATTTCAAGTTATGACGATTTTAAATATTAAAATTTATTACTTTGACCCATAAATTAAACTCAATTCAAAAGTGATTTTATAAGATTCGAAATCTTAATCTTTGACACTTGACAACACCATATTTATCATTTAGATTTAATTCATTTATTTTTTATCTCATCCATACCGTTAAAGTAATTTATGACTGAGACAGACCCAGAAACTAAAATAAATAAAAGTTTTCAGAAAAATATTTTGATTACGTCAAAATTCTAGTTTTGACAATCTGATTCCGAAAGTACAATCTGTTTTTAATTCGGAGTAGTTTGGGCGAAAAAGCGTGTACCGTTTGGAGTAAACTATTCAGTTTTGGCAAAAAGCCAAAACTTTATTTTCCAAATCTCTCCCAAATCACGTAGCTTCCCTTTGTGATGCTCACAATCCTATTTTCAACCCTCCACTAACTCCACTAATACAACACTCCAAATAATTATATAATACTCCCAAAACCACACCATAACATTATCATCATCTTCCACCATCCCACATCACCCATCATTTCTCCTCCTCACCACACTCTCTCTCTGTCGGCATTCAAAGGAGGAGAAAACACAGCAGCAATACTCCATTTTTATGCTATAGAAGAAGAAGAATCAAGAAGGAAACCATTCAAGTGTCTATGATCTTGAAGCATCCCACTTCTAGGTAAAAACTGAAATTTTCTATTCATTATCTCGAAATACTTTCTGAACCAAAGTTGTAGCCCCAGACGATACAAATCCAAGCCAATAAACAGTTCGCGATTTCGTTAAGTAACGAAGGTGATATGGCCAAAATACCGGGACTGCGCCAGTGGTGGCGAGCTCCTCGGGTTGGCTATGTTTCCTCACCATATTCATGTTGTTTCATTCCAGACACTCATCATAAACTCTCTAACGATTATTAGGAACATCCAGAAGGTATCGTAGAGAACGTTCGGTGTTGGAATATTGAAGTTAATGAGTTAATCGTCGGAATCGTTGTTCATCGACATATCCGAAATTCTGGACAGCAACTTTCCCTTGACTTCAGGTCCAATTTATGCTATCTTACATCTGTTAACTCGAAATACTTTCTATACGAAAGTTATAGCCTTACATCTTAGGAATCCACAGAATCAATTGGTTTGCGATTCCGTGAAGAAACGATGGAGATATGCCCAAAATACGGCAGGCTGTCCAATTGTGACGAGAATGACAAAGTTGGTGAATTTCAATGTTGTTTCCACTCCCGCTCATCTGTAAGGTTTCGGCCATTGATTTCCAGGTCTTTACACTTGGGTTAGACTTGTCGAATCATTCATCACATCCGTACATGAACATATATATTAATCCATATGTTGTAGTCATCCCAAAATATATATGTGATACATATATAAGTCATCTATGTGTTAAAATCAAAATACACCAAATCCATAAAGTTAATATATATATATATATATATATACATAATCCATATAAATATTGGAAACAACCAACAACATGTATATGTTAATCAAAGGTGTTTAAAAGAATTAAGGAAGTATTTTAGACACTCACAATATCAAGAATAAGTTTCACAAACGTAAATGGCCGACGCAAATGGTCGACCGTCGTGTTAAACTTCGAAACGGACCATGACAGTCAGCAGAACAGTCGACCGCCGTCGGCGAACGGTTGACCGCTGCCAGCCCAGCCGAAGTCCGTCATCTTCAGCCAGTCAACAACGGTTGACCGCCGGTCAACCACGGTCGACCGTCATGGTAAACCGGAATCCCACGCATTGAATCATAGAACGGTCGACCACCGTGCCAAACGGTCGACCGTTCCGAGCCCCATAGCTTACTTAAATGATATTTTAATCATGTTTCATCCAAATAAACTAATGCATGATTATTTATTCATATGTGTTGCAAATTGTTCATATCATATCATTCATTTCATCATTCATATTGAAGCACATCACATCATATGCATGCGTAAGAGATCATGCCTCGTGCGTCTCTTATAGCGTGATTGTGCGGGACATAGCAGTCCGACATCACACGTTCGGGCTTAGTGTACGTACATGGTATTCAGGCTTTCGAGTACCACCCACATTTTTCTAGTCTCACCTCATTCGTGAGACTAAGGTGGCATGAGTTCGTCGTATAACCTGGGCGAATCTTATAGCGCAAGGGTCGTCCTTGCACGTTAGTTTCATGCATCATGTTATCATCATCAAGTACAATTATATTGATTACATAGGTGTTATGTAATCATCATCAAGAACAATCAAATTGATTAAATGTGCCATCATTTAATTATCATTAAATATTTATCATCATGAACTATCAAATTGACCATATGATATAATGTGCCATATCATGAATATAAGTATACATTTTTGTGGACGTATATATGTATATGTATATGTCAGTGAATTATTCTACAATTCTAGCGTGGTACCACTCAGCGGTTTCGCTGAGCGTGTAGTTTGTATTTTTCGTTGACTACACGTAGGTAACAAGAAGATAATGATGGAAGCACTCCCAGAGGGCAATGAGTCGGAGGAGATGCAAGGATTGCAAGCAAATGTTTGACCATCAAGATTTTAAATGTTTCATGATTTGATTATTATTGTACTTCCGCATTACTCTGAAAATATTTTTAAACGGGTCGCAATCCAGAGTCTGTAAATTTAACATTTATAATAAATTTTCATTCTCAAATGTGAAGCGAAATTTTTATTTAACTCTGATTTCACCTTAATTCATGTAATTCCGGGTTATAAAAATTAGGGTGTTACACTAAATGTTGGCCTTGAATGCCGTACCCCGCAACCATTTTGATGTTCCAAATAAGTCTTCAAAATGCTACTAACATTATTTGCAGGAATAAACCAAACGCCAAACCTCTATTAGCTTGATTAGCATCACCGAGATGTACTCCTACAAGCTTACAAATGTTAGTGTAAAGGTAATAGTATATTTTAAAGATTTACTTATGCCCTTTCACTCAAAAATTATTTCTAAAATGTCGAATATATTCTTAGTTGGGGTTATTTTGAAAACGGAACACAAAAAACGAGTTTTGGAAAATTGACACCGGTCTAACGGTACCTAGCTTTCGTGTACACGACACCAGGGTACCGCCGGTAGCCAAGTGAACGTACCGTTGTACGTATCACCTGGGTGGTACACGGTACCCCCTACCGTGGTAACGGTACCTAGGTACCGTCGGTAGGCATGGAACGGTTGGCCAAGCCGTTTTACCTCAGGTACCGCTAGAGCCGAACCAATTTTATGGCTTACACGGTACCCCCTAGCGGTAGGTTGTAGCATGGTCACGGTACCTAGGTACCAGACGGTACTGACCCTACCATGAAGGGTACCGTATCCGTTGTTAACACTGTAGCAAATTGCCAATTTAAATTCAAATCACCCCAAATCACTCTCTAACGGCATTTAACTTTAAAAACTCATATTTTAACCTTCCAAACTCCTATATATACCCCCTCTATGTCTCATTTTATGTACAATAACTTCCCAATCATATCTAAAGCCTCTTTCTCTATTTTTGAGTGTCTCTTGAAGCTTTGTTCTTATTTTTCTTACTCTTTTGAGTATAAAGTTTTCATTATTTTTATACACTCACACACAAGGGCATTTGTGATTCATTATTTTATATCTTACCTATAGGCTTTTGTTGTTGTTGATTTAATATTTTGTTCTTCTCCTACCCAATTCATATTTATTATCATTTTGGTAGAGAAGAAACACCCATTTTTATTGATTTGAAAAAGGTGTGGATATCCTTTAAATCCTCATTTTAAGGTTGAAGATAGCCTTAAAATCTTCAGTTGTAAACGGTTGAGATAGCCATAGTAAAATCTCATTTGCTTATTGGCAAGGGTTGTTTGCCAAACCTCGTTTGAGTCTTCTTAGTGAAGCCAAACAAGTTAGTGGAGGTTAAAGCCTTGAGGAGGAGCCTCGAGGTACTGGAGTAGGGAGTTCCCGAACCAGTATAAAATCATTTGTATCGTATTTTTATTTCTTATACTTTTCTTGCTCCTTTTCTGCTATTACTTTGCGCATAAGTTTTTGTTTCTTACGAAAAACTTTTAAACACCCTAATTCACCCCCCTCTTAGGGTGTAACAGACTTTCACTTGGTATCGGAGCAGGAAGTTTAATCCTTTCACACCTATCTTTTAATTCCATTTACGACACATGGATTCAATGAAATCCTAAAGCATTACCAAGCCACCATTCTTCAATGGGGATAACTATGGCTATTGGAAAATGCGAATGGAGAATTTCATTCAATCCATTGACTATGATTTATGGATAGTCACTACTCATGGTCCGTGTTGTTTTGTGCCTTGGGTCAAGATGAGTTTGCTAGGGTGAGCTCTTGCAAATCCAAAAAGGAAGCATGGAAGCTACCAAGATAGCTTTGTTAGTCGGTTTAGTCGTTGTGCCCACGCCTTAGAGGGGGTGAATAAGGCGTTTAAAAACTAATCGGAGTTTAATAAAAACGGTGTTGGCAAATGCGGAAGCAATAAATAAAACGAAAAAATAAAAGCGTAAATAAAATGCACACCGAATTTATACTGGTTCGGAAAACCCCTACTCCAGTACCTCGAGGCTCCTCCTCAAGGATTTCTGAATCCACTAAGACTCGGCCTCTTGAACTCCGTCAAAGCACCGCACTAGTTTTGGCAAACAACCCTTGCCAATAGGATTCACTCCGAGATTTCACAACTGCTATCTCGAACCGTTTACAACGAATATTTAACGGCTATCTTCTACCGTTCCCCCAAGGATTTCAAAGGCTATCCTTGAACCTTTACCCAGGGATTTATACGGCTATCCTTAACCGTTACAACGTGAGAATTTGACGGTTATTCTCGACCGTAAGAAGATGTGTTTGAAGAACACAAAAGTAGATTCTACACAATGGCTAGAATATTAAAATGAAGAACAAAACTTAGCGGGTGTAGAAGGAAAGTATACTCTCTCAAAAATACAATTCAAACTTATGAATATGAGAGTATATAACTAGAAACACAAGCTCAAAGTGTGTGTATAAAAATCAGGAATTTAAGGCTCTTGAAATAGCCAAAATATTGAAAATAATTAATAAAAGAATGAACACACTTAGAATATAAAGGGAGGATGTTTAGAGCTTTGTTTCTTGAAAAAATATGAAGGATTAGGCTTGTATTTATAGTGGAAGATGTTAATTAGCCATTGGGAGGTGATTATGATTGATTAAATTCAAAATCACAAATCATGAATAGTAATCCAACGGTCACGGTAGGGGGGTCCCGTCCATACGGTAGGGGGGTCCCGTGCTTACGGTAGCTAGGTACCTTCTCAGGCCAAAACTATCTAGCGGTACCTATCTTAGTACGGTACCCCTTACGGTAGGGGGGTCCCGTCCATACGGTAGGGGGGTCCCGTGCGTACGGTACCTAGGTACCTTGTGACCATTTTGACAATTTTTTTATTTTTGTCCAAATCATTTCCAATTTTGTTTAAAACCTTTTGGATGTTTGAAAATGATTATAAAATGGTTTTAAACATGTTTTGTGAGTGTTTTTGAGCTTGTGAATATAGGTATATAAAATCATACCCTTACATTGGTTTCTACCTATATTCTACGCTAGTTTAGTGTTTCGATATCATTCTTGAGTACCGAATCTTAATGGATTCTTGTTTTTCCTGAAACACTTAAACAAACGTTAAGCTCTTATATTGTTTGTTAACATCAAAACATGAGGCTTAGCAAACCAAGGCTAACCAGCTTTAGGAACATCTGAGTATGAAAACTTCAAGATGAAGGCCGGAGAATCCGTTCAAGATATGAACAAACGATTCAACCTCATTGTCAACAGTTTGACTAAGCTAAATAATGTTTATCCTACTAGTGAGATTAACACCAAGATTATATTCTCTCTTCATAGAGAATGGCATAGTCTTGTTGTAAATTTGTTGCCCAAATGTGCGGATGTTGAAACCTCCACCATTTGGAGCAGCCTATACTCTCACGAGCTTCTTTTAAGGAAAATGAAGGAAGAAGAAAAGGTTCCTATTATCATGAAGACCATGGCGCTCAAAATCGATGATCACCCGGAGAGCGAAGGAGAAAGTGATGAGGAACTTGCCATGTTCAAGAGATACAAAAAGTTTATGAAATGGAACAAGGGCGAATCCTCAAAGAGATTTCCACCAAAGAAAGGTAAATCTAATCAAATAACTTGTTATGAATGTGGAAATGTAGGACACATCAAACCGGAGTGCCCAAAGCTCAAAAAGAAGGGAGAGCTTAAAAATGGGAAGAAGAAGGCATTAATGGTCACTTGGGATGATTTAAACTCGGACGAAAGTGATAGTGATCAAAGCCAAGAAGAAAAAGCAAATGCTTGCTTCATGGCCCCAAACGATGAGGAAGAGGTTAGTTCCCAAAACTCATTCACCTCTTTTGAAAGTCAAGTTACTTTTGATGAGTTAAGGCAAGCGTTTGATGAATGCCAAGAGGACCTTTTTCGAACCATTAGGGAGAAAAAGGAACTCAAAGTGGCCCTTGAATCTTCTCGGGATGAAAACAAAAATTTAAAACTTAACCTTGAGAAGCTTCAAAACCAAAATGAAGAATTGCAAAAGAAAATTAAAATTTTAATTAAAGAAAAGGACAAAACCAAGCGAGGGGATTTGGAAATGTTTTATGATAGCTATAGCTCAATGAAGATGTGGGATGACCAACCAAAACTAACAAAAGAAGGTATTGGTTATGGTCAATCCACAAACTTGATGAGCATGGCTAAAAATCATTTTAATACCTCAAAAACTAATCCATCAAACCAAGCCTCAACTTATAAATCAAAAGTAAAGGCTTACCACTATTGCATGCAAGCTAACCATATTGTGACAAAGTGTCCAAACAAATGGTTAGTTGAAATGCGTAAATTAAAATGGGTCAAGAAGGGTTCTAACAGGTCAGAATCCAAGAATATTGGATATCAAAAGAAACCCTTTTTGCAGGAAAATAAAAGAAATGATGGTGGATACTATTTCTTTTATTATGATGAAAAACGAAAAGTCCATATACCACTTCCGGAACCAACCGAGACGAAGAAACCCGTATCCCGACATAGGGTATTCGTCGATTGGAACCCCAAACCTAAGTCAAAAATAAATTCCTCTTTGACTAGGTGAGAAACACCACTTGGGTTGTGGATAGTGGATGTTCGAGGCACATGAACCGGAACAAGAGGATGGTTCACACACCTCAAGGAGAAAAGTCATGGACACGTGACCCTTGGAGATAAATCCCGGAAGAAAGTCATCGGTAAAGGTACGATAGGTATTTCAAGTGATTTTTCAATAAATGATGTTTATCTTGTAGATGACCTAAAATTCAAATTAATTAGCATAAGCCAACTTTGTGACAATGGCCACAAAGTTGAGTAGCTGAAATCATTTTTGAAGCTAAAAGAGATGGAAACATATACAAGTTCAATTCCAATGACTTGAGCAACTCAAAAATCACTTGTCTTACTACTTCGCTTGAATTTTCAACATTATGGCATCATAGACTAGGACATGCTAGTTATGATCTTTTGAGAAAACTTTACTCAAAAGAACTTGTTGTTGGGCTACCAAAAATGAGCATACCCCCTTCTTGTTTTTGTGATGCATGCTCCCCTAGGAAACAACATAAAGTATCATTTAAACCCATAAAAATGGTTTTAACGTCAAGGCCACTTGAACTCTTACATATGAATTTATTTGGGCCCGTAGACGTTCTAAGCCTAGGTGGAGCTAGTTTTATATTTGTAATTGTAGATGATTTTTCTCGTTACACTTGGACTATATTAGTTGCCAATAAAGATGATGCGTTTAATGCTTTTGTTAAATTGTGCAAGAGAATTCAAAATGAGAAAGGTTATGAAATAACCTCTATTAAAAGTGATAGAGGAGGAGAATACCGGAATACCGATTTTGAGACATATTGTGATGAACACGGTATTTCTCACAACTTTTCGGCTCCTAGAACACCTCAACAAAATGGAGTCGTTGAAAGGAAGAATAGGACGTTGCAAGAAATGTCAAGGACCATGTTGAATGAACATAACTTACCTCAATATTTTTGGGGAGAAGCGGTCAACATGGCATGCTACGTTCTTAACCGGGTATTACTTAAACCTATTATTAAAAAGACTCCTTATGAATTTTGGAAAGGTAGAAAACCAAATATTGCTTATTTCAAAGTTTTTGGGTGCAAATGCTATATTTTGAATACCAAGGATCATTTAGATAAATTTGAGCCTAAATTAAATGAAGGAATTTTTCTTGGTTATTCAACAAATAGTAGAGCCTATAGGGTACATAATAAATCAAATCATAAAGTAGAAGAATCTATGCATGTGAAATTTGATGAAACCGATCCCTTTGGGTGGAGTAAGGTAATTGCAGGTTCAAATGAAGAAGAAGAGGAAGAAGAAATCCTGGAAATTCCTGCACAAGAGGAAGAAAGTGAAAAGAAAGAACTACCAAAGGCTTATAAACACTTGAAGAATCATCCAAGAGACAATATCATTGGAGATATTGAAAAGGGAGTTAGAACAAGGAACAATTACAATCTTTGTGCACACTATGCGTTCGTTAGTCAATTTGAACCTAAGAACATAGAAGATGCACCAAAAGATAGTGATTGGATCATATCCATGCAACTAGAGCTTGAGCAATATGAACGCAACAAGGTTTGGGAACTAGTCGAAAGACTGGAAAACCGACCCGTTATGGGACTAAATGGGTCTTTAGAAACAAGCTTGATGAAAATGGTGTTATTATCACCAATAAAAGTCAACTTTTTGCTAAAGGCTATTGCCAAGTTGAAGGACTTGACTGTGATGAAACTTTTGCTCCGGTTGCTAGGCTTGAATCTATTCGTATGTTATTAGCTTTTTCCAGTGCTCTTAATTTCAAACTCTTTCAAATGGTTGTAAAAAGTGCTTTTCTAAATGGGTGGCTGAAAGAAGAAGTTTATGTTGAACAACCTCCCGGTTTTGAAAATCCTGATTTTCCAAATCATGTTTTTAAACTTCATAAGGCTCTTTATGGACTCAAACAAGCTCCTAGAGCTTGGTATGAGCAGCTTACCGAACATCTCATCTCACATGAATTTGCAAAAGGAAAGATCGATTCCACACTTTTTTTTCAAAACAAAAGGAAAAGATCTCATAATTGTGCAAATTTATGTTGATGATATTATTTTTGGGTCAACTAATGAAGCCTTATGTAATGAATTTTTAGGAATTTTGACAAGCGAATTTGAAATGAGTATGATGGGTGAGTTGAACTTCTTCCTTGGAACTTGGAGATGGTATCTCCATTAGCCAAACCAAGTATGCCAAAGAATTAGTCAAGAAGTTCAACCTTGAAGACTCAAAAACATACCCAACACCAATGAGCACATCCTTGAAGCTTGATAGTGGCGAAAGCGGAAAAACCGTAAATGAAAAGGTATATCGAGGTATGATTGGTAGTTTTCTTTACTTGGCTGCATCTAGACCCGATATAATGTTTTCCGTTTGTCTTTGTGCACGTTTCCAATCATCACCCAAAGAATCACATGTAAACGCTGTCAAGCGAATAATTCGATATGTAAAGGGAACGACCAATATGGGTTTATGGTATCCCAAGAATACGAATTTAAGCTTGTTAGGTTTTAGTGATGCGGACTTTGGAGGGTGTCGCATTGATCGGAAAAGCACAAGTGGCACATGTCAATTCATAGGTCATGCACTAGTGTCTTGCTCATCTAAGAAACAACACTCCGTCGCCCTATCCACCGCCGAAGCGGAATATGTGGCTATTGGTAGTTGTGTTGCTCAAATTTTATGGATGATGCAAACACTAAGTGACTTTAACTTAAAATTTTCAAAAGTGCCTATTTTTTGTGACAATTCAAGTGCGATAAATATTTCCAAAAACCCCATGTTGCATTCTAGAGCTAAACATATAGAAATAAGACATCATTTTATTCGTGATCATGTTTCAAAAGGAGATATTCAAATTGAATATGTCAATACACTTGAACAACGTGCCGATATTTTTACAAAACCCTTGGATGAAAAACAATTTTTACATATTTGTCGGAAAATGGGAATGCTTGAATTAAAGTGAATTTAAGGTTCTTATCATCCCATTACAACATAAAATTAAATTGATCAAGTCTAAATGCTCAAAACACGGGTCTAGAGGTCGAAACATAAACTTAAGGCTGAGGCACGGTACCCTTCGTGGTACCCTGTACCGTTTCCTCGGTAGGGAATACCGTTTACACGGTAACCGTGTGCCGTTTGGATGCAGATACCGCCAGAGGAGAATGATTTTTAGACCCTTCACGCTAGCCTGTAACGGTAGCCTATGTCGTTTGTACGGTACCAAGGTACCGTTAGCATGGTACCAAGGTACCGACCGTCTCTTTGGGTCAAACCATCTTAAAAAGCCCTAGACCAGCACATCTTCGACAATCTGCAACGTCTTCTCTCCCGGCGTCTCCTCCCATTTCTCTCTCCCGTCCGCCAACTTAGGTAAATCTTCATAAAAATTTCTTCAATTCTTTCATACATTTGTTTCCATTCATCAATTTCTTTGTATACTATCTTCAATTCATCAATTTGGTATCAAATTTCCCATTTTTTCCCAAAAAAATATCATTTTCTCAATTCACCCAAAATGAGCGAAATTGTTTCCAATGTTAAACCTGATGCTCAACTTGATGTTCAAGACGGGTTCAAGGCTTACGCTGACCCACATATCATTGAAGGGAGAACTCTAAAACAAGATGACATCCTGGTTTCCGTTCATGAACTTATTCACGAACAAGGTTGGAGTTTCTTTCTTCAAATCCAAGCCCCCGTGTACCCGGAACTTGTTCATCAATTTTATTCCTTAATGAGAAACCATAGGCAAGATCCTTCCATTACCGCTGTTGTTTCCGGCAAAACCTTCGGATTCAACACTCAAAACCTTTCAGAATGGTTTCACCTAGAGCGTCAAAGAGTCTCCTCCTGTTGGAAAAAGGGATGGATTTCCGATTCCCAAGACTTTAACTCCGATTTTTGCCTACGTGTTCTCAACAATATTGCTCTTGACCATGTTTTTGAGGACCCGGACTATTTTCTTCGTCGGCCCAACGTCCAAGACTTGACCGCAAATCGGTTCATTCTCCTAAAAATCCTCAAAGAAAATGTCATTACCGTCCTTAACAAGGATAAACAAGTCGGGATTTATGAATGCACTCTCCTATACCTCCTCCTCACACACAAGAAAATCAATCTCCCTTCTATCATCATTCAACAAATGTACGAGTGCTCCGGTCGCCAAAACAAACCTTATGGCATGCTTCTTACCCACATCTTTGCCAAACGAGGCATTCTTGAGGTGCGCCCCTTCCGCGTCCGCTTTCTTGACGCGGAACGCCTTGGGTATTGTGGTCTCGTAAAGATCAGAGAGGATGTAACACCCTGCAACCCGGTCTAATAGAATTGATTATTTTAAATAATTAATTACTCTTCCGGACCGGAGTTGGGAAAAATAAAAGTTCTTAGAAAAATTATTTGAACATGTCATTAAATTCGTTTTGAATGTCTGATTCCAGAAACGCAAACAGATCTCAATTCGGAACCGTTTGGGGGGAAACCGCGTACCGTTCATGTTAGATTTTATTAAAACGGAATGACTTTAAGGGAGGTAACCTCCCCATTTAATCCACACGGCACCCCATGCATTTCCCCCCTTAACTCTCCATCAATCCCCTCATTATTCACCATCAATTCTTGTATTTTAAAACTCCCCTTCCCATTCATTTTCCCCTTCATCATTTGTAACCCCCAAGCCATAATTCACACACTCCCTCTTCTTCTCCCTTCCCTTGTTCGGCCACAGCAGCAGCCAGGCGAGGAGGTTCTGGAAAGTTGACGGGGAGGTAGAAGAAGGAAGTTCACGCAAGAAGTTTGTCCGTGATCGTTTGTCGTTCAACATTGTCAACCGTTCGTTCATCTCGTTTCATCCTACCATCAACCCCATCATTTAGAGGTGAGTAGTTGTCCCCTCTAATTCTAGAACATTTAGTTATAATCTATGTCGTTATATGCATAGGAATATGATACGCAACCTACGTAGAATCTATGCATGTTCGTAGGTTAGCCATCAAAACGTTGACTACGTAAAACTTATATATATTGGCCTAGGAATCGCTTCAGATGGTGGACCGTACCCTTGGCCATCCCGACGGTCACCACCGTGACGGTCAACCTCCGGCCGTGACGGATGACCATGGTGGACCGTCCGTGACCCAGACCCAGACCGTAGCCCACGGTCGACCGTCGATAGAGCATGGTCGACCGTTCCTCGGGCAGAGTTTCGGGAAGTTTGTAGAACGAGTTCAGTTGACCACATTGACCCAGAATCTGATTGTATGTTTGCATGAAATGTTAATCTTCATTATGTATGTTATTTAATTGATATATTCTTGGCTTTGACCAAAGGTAAATATATCAAGTTTCATCATGTTCATCCAAGACGCATGTCCTAGGTTTATCATCATGTGCATACCGCTGTAGGGAGGTGAGGCTTCCGTGCACCTACTACAGTGGGCCCGTTCAGGAACCTTTGGGATCCAACGGGTTGTCATCGGGTGGGCTTTGTGTACGTACATGGTAGTCAGGTTACGGCTACCACCCGGTTTTGTTACTCCACTTGCGACATCTTTGTCGATCCCTGCTCATTACCATTTTGGTATGATAACCGGAGTGCAGGGGTGATTAGAGGTGGCAATCGGATCAACCGGATCGGTTTCGGGTTGGATTTTCTCGGTTTGGATATCTTTCAGTTATATGTTATAAACAGTTCGGTTCGGTTCGGATTTGATTTCGGTTCTATACATTTTTCGGTTCGGTTCGCATTCGAGTCGGTTCGGTTATAAATCGGTTCAGATAAATTTTGGTTCGGATACAATTTGAGTCGGATATATTTCGGTTTCAGATCAAATATATTTTGGATATATTATTTTCTAATTAAAATTTAACTATTTGTGTTTCTTTTTATGTTTTATCACATTTATCAATCTATCATCAATTCAATAGCTCATATTATTTTATATTTTTTCTAGTTATATTATCTCTACCCTAAATAATCTTCCCTTTTTGACTTTTTAGTCATATTTTACAAATTTGGACTACAAATTATGAAAACATATATATTTAATTATGATATAAATTTAATATAATTAAATTGATTTTAAAATTTAGTTTTGAAATATCAAATTTTTCTCACATCTACTACTCCGTAATATACTTACGTACATAAATGAAAGGATAAAAGATAAATTCAAATAGTCTTATGTTCCATTTGAATACAATGTGGTAAAAATTGAGTAAAACTGGGTGAAATTAAGTGAATTTTATTCAATTGAGTGCAAAATTTGTAAATTATTGAGTATATTTGGTTGAAAATAGAGAAAATTAAATTTAATAAAGTCAAATATAATTAATTTTACACCTAAATGTAATGGTGTAGATCAAATTTGAAAATGATAAAAGCAAAGGCTGCCGCTAGAGAGTCTTTTTAAAATGCTAACACCAGCATCTAATTTTATTGACTAATATTGAGTGAATTGGTTTGAAACTAATCAAATTAACTCTCAAATCAATAAAATTTATTCTAATGAGATGAAATTAGGATAAAATCTAGTTATTCCATACAATTCATCATATATTCTTTTCGTCCCAAAAAGAATATCACACTTCACTATTTAAAAATTACGAAAATTTTATTTGTTTGTGCGTTATCATTTATATGTATAACTTATCTTTAATTTCTACATATAACAAATTTAAGGCATAAAATTTTGTACTTTCTTTCAAGAAGATAATCAATTTTATGAGGGAATGGGCAAGTAATGTAGTTAGTTCAAATGGTAAAATAAAAGTAAAAATTTAAAAATATTATATGCTTATTGAAAGGCAAACATAGTTCTGAATTTATCGATTTTAGCTCTAATCGGGTTCAGATATTATTGGTTTCAGATCTAATCGGTTTTGGGTATTATCGGGTTCGGATCTATTCGGTTTTTAATCGGTTCGGATATTATCGGTTTCGGATCTAATCGGTTTTGGATATAAATCGGATATGAATTATTTAGTTCGGTTTCGGTTCGATTCGGATCATTTCGGGTTTTCGGTTATAGATCGGATCTTCATTTTTCGGGTCATTTCGGTTTCGGATATTTCGGTTCGGGTAATCGGTTCCGGTTCTGTTTTGCCAGGTCTAGGGGTGATCCTGTCAAGTGAGACTAAGCCAGGGGGTGTCCCTGATAGTTTAAGTCATGCATCAAGTCGTCTCATCATCATGTATGTTCCACATCACATCCACATTCAATGTGGTGGCATATCATTTTGTTATGTGTAATAGTACCCCATGAGGTGCAAACTGAGCAGTTAGTAAACATGTGGTTTTCCGTACGCTAAGTACATGTATTAATATGTGTATAACCATATGGGTTATCACTTTATGTTCTTTTGTTAGGTTCACTCCTCAGCTTTTGCTGAGCGTGTAGTTGTTTTTGCTACACTCAGGTAGACATGACGGTACGGGTGCTAATCCTGGAGGACAGTGATGATGGGAAGATGGGCGGTGCACGGACGAGTTTTAATATTTATTTACATTTAATTAATTAATCATTTGGGCGTGAACCCAACATATGTCGTTTTACTTAATTTGGACTTGACTTATTTATTTACTTCCAATTTACTCTGCATTTATAACACACGTTTCGGGGATAACTCCCTAGCATTTATTTCACCAATTAAATATAATCATTTTCATAATAAATAGACATTAATGTTTTTTCTACGGACAATTCTCGGACCGCCCATGTAACCCGCCTGGTCCGTTGGGTCGCGGGTGAACCGAGTCCACGGGAGGCGGGTGTTACAATTTTGTATTAGAACCCAAACGATTTTGTGAAAGGAAAAAAACATTTTTTCATTTTAGTCCAAGAGTATTTTCAAAGGTCCATAGCCGCGTCTCCCATCACATCACTTCTAGGGAAAGGTACACTTTTATTTTATTCACTTATATGTCACATTGTAACTAGTTTTCATTAAAGCTTTTTAGAGAATGAGCCAAGCAGCAGGCAATGACGGAAAGGCTGTCCCACATGGGGAGCCTGAGCACGTGAGCGTGCACATGGAAGCGTCAAGCTTCACACCCCAGCAGGCAGCCCCGGGCGCGGGCCCTGTTCCGGAAGTCGTTCCCATCATCCAGCCACAGTTCGCGGCTAATTTCATGAATTTCCTCCAGCAAATGGCTGGAGCATATGTTCCACCACCGCCACCACTAGTGGTTGTAGTCACCATCGAGAAGCTCCGGAAGAATGGAGCTGAGGAATTCCTAGGCGATCAGATCGCCGACACCATGATCTCCAAGCGATGGTTTGAGCAAACCATCCTTGTTTTGGGAAACATGAGGGTTTCACAGGACCAGCGCGGCGACCTCGCAGTCGCATTACTCCAGGATTCAGCCTATGACTGGTGGAAACGCGTGGGAGTAGACGTCCCTGAGCCCGTGCAGTGGACCACATTTGAGCAACTCTTCCATGAAGAGTACATTCCAGAGCACTTCGTCGAGGCGAAGCGAGATGAGTTCCTGAAGTCCACCAAGGGCGAACTCAGACTACCCGAGTATCGTTAGAAATTTGACGAGCTCGCAGGGTTTGGGCAAGACCTCGTCCAACCATGGAGAAGCGGTGCAAGCGCTTCGTGGAGGGTTTACGTCTGGACTTATCAGCTCATTTGATCATTGCTCCTCGGGGTGACATCAACGCGTTGTTCAAAAATGTGTTGGACTTGAATGCGGCCCTCATCAAGAAAGCCGAGTACGAGCAATCGTTTGAGGTTTCAGCAACACCATCTCGTCCTCCTCCACCTCAGAAGGCAGGGACCAGTAGCAAAAGGTCTTTCGCAGCACCTAGCTGCTCTCACCAGAGCAAGAAGGCTAAGACAGCACCATCACAGTCATCGGCGTCCGTCCAGAAGAAGGGAAAAAGCGGAGATGGGTATCGCTACCCGATCTGCAACCTTTGTGGACGCAGGCATCCAGGAGAGTGTTGGAACTCAGGGCCTATGCCTTGGGTGTGGTCAGGCTGGGCATTTCCGCAAGGAGTGTTCGAAGAATCCGGGTGAGCTGTTTCCATCTGCACCAGCTACCTCAGCTCCAGCAGCGCAGCCTGCCCAGAGTCAGAAGTCTGTGGCAGCATCGAGTCAGCCCAAGTGGCAAGATTCTGGCAGCCAGGCGGGGAAGGCCCCGGCCCGTACTTACGCGATGCGAGGGCGTACTGAGCAGCCAGCTCATGACGTCATCATGGGTATTTTCACCTTATTCGATACATCCATCACAGCATTGATTGATCCGTGTTCTATTTTATCATATGTTTGTATGCCTATGCCTGTTGTGCCTAACATTCCAAAGGAAGACTTGGATGATCTGATAATCGTATCCAACCCATTGGGACACAGTCTACGACTCACCCATGTGTATCACGCCTGTCCGTTAGTGGTCCAGGGAAAGACCTTCCCTGCAAGTCTCATTGAACTTCCACTTCGTGACTTTGACGTTATTCTATGCATGGATTAGCTCACTGCCAACCAAGTCGTTGTTGATTGCGGAGCACATACTGTTCGGCTGAGAGCCAAAGACGGTAGCGACATTCTGATCCGTGATGAGCTTCTTCCGAAAGCTCCTGAATTCATTTCCTACATTCATGCTCGCCGACTCATTCGCAAAAAGCACGAGGCATTCCTGTGCACAGTGCGTGACACTCGTCAGGAGGCACCTTATAGGGAAGACATCCCTACGGTATGTGACTTTCCCGATGTGTTTCCAGTGATTTACCCGGCCTACCACCCCCTAAGGAGGTAGAGTTTAACATTGATCTAGTTCCAAGAACAGGACCGATCTCAATCACACCTTATCGCATGGCACATGCGGAAATGAAAGAGCTGAAAGCTCAATTGCAGGAGTTGCTGGATAAGGGCTTTATCCGTCCCAGTGTGTCCCCTTGGGGAGCACCAGTTCTGTTCGTCCGCAAGAAGGACGGGTCGATGCGGTTGTGCATCGATTACCGTCAGTTGAACAAAGTCACCATCAAGAATCGCTATCCGTTACGTTACCACGCATTGATGATTTGTTTGACTAGCTGAGAGGGGCCACAATCTTCTCTAAGATCGATCTCCGGTCAGGATAGCATCAGATTCCCATCAGGAAGGAAGATATTCCTAACACGGCATTTCGCACTAAATACGTTCATTACAAATTCAAAGTCATGCCCTTTGGTTTGACCAACTCACCAGCAGTGTTCAAGGATCTAATGAACAGTGTGTTCCGTAAGCATCTTGATCAGTTTGTTCTGGTCTTCATCGATGACATCTTGGTGTACTCCAAGACACAGGAGGAGCACGCCGAGCATCTACGTATTGTTTTGAGCATTCTTCGGGAACAACAGCTTTATGCCAAGCTGTCAAAGTGCGAGTTCTGGTTGCACGAGGTTACCTTCCTCAGACATGTAATCTCGGCCGAAGGTGTGAAGGTAGACCCGAGTAAGATATCGGCGATCACGGAGTGGAAGACTCCGCGCAATGCACGTCAGGTGATGAGTTTTCTCGGATTGGCAGGCTACTATCGCCGGTTCGTGAAGGACTTCTCCAAGATAGCATCACCATTGCACAAGCTAATGAGGAAAGACGTCAAGTTCGCTTCGACTGACGCCTGTTAGCAAAGTTTCGAGCAGCTAAAGGAGTGTCTGATCCAGGCACCAGTGCTAGTCCAGCCCACTCCAAGAGTGGAGTATACACTTTTCAGCGACGCGTCCCATAACGGCTTGGGATGTGTTCTTATGCAGGAGGGCAAGGTCGTTGCTTACGCGTCCCGGCAGTTGAAGTCGCATGAGTGTAATTATCCGATGCACGACCTTGAGCAAGCAGCTATTGTACTTGCCTTGAAAATCTGGAGGCATTACCTCTACGGTGAGACAACGTGTATCTTCACCGACCATAAGAGCCTTTAGTACTTGTTGACAAAGAGGGATCTGAATCACCGACAGAGGAGATGGTTGGAGTTGATTAAGGACTATGATTGTCACATCGCTTATCACCTAGGTAAGGCGAATGTGGTAGGTGATGCCCTTAGTCGTAAGACTCTAGCTGTGTTGCATGTTCAGCATACACAACGTCAGCAGATAGCATCAGCACAGAACAACGATGATTTTTGTATCCAGACCCTTGAGCTCGTCTCTCGAGGAGAGTAGCCAGATTTCACAGTTCAGGATGATATCTTGTACTATCGGGAGCGTATGGTAGTGCCAGCGGGGGAGGTGAGGGAACGCCTGCTTCGCGAAGCACACAGCACCGTATATACCGTGCACCCGGGCAGTAACAAGATGTTTCAGGATCTTAGGAGACATTACTGGTGGCCCGCGATGAAGCGGGAGATCACAGAGTTCACATCGCGGTGCTTGACTTGTCAGCAGGTCAAGGCCGATCATCAGGTTCCTTCAGGATTACTTCAGTAGATCACCATCCCTGAGTGGAAATGGGATCGCATCACGATGGATTTTGTTGTGGGACTGCCATTGTCACCACGTAAGCACGACACCGTTTGCATCATCGTTGATCGATTGACCAAATCAACTCATTTCCTTCCCATTCGTCGTGACTTTCCACTTCAGCGTTTAGCGGAGTTGTACATCCGTGAGATCATCAGGCTACATGGAGTTCCTTCATCTATCATTTCGGATCGTGACTCTCGATTCACAACATAGTTCTGGAAGAGCCTACAGAAAGCATTGGGCTCCGATCTCCACTTCAGTACTGCGTTCCACCCTCAAACAGACGGTCAGTCGGAGAGCGTGACTCAGATTCTTAAAGATATGATGCGCGCATGCGCGATCGATTTCAGGGACGGTTGGGAGCGATATCTGCCGCTCATGGAGTTCGCATACAACAACAGTCACCAGGCTAGCATCGGTATGGCACCGTACGAGGCTCTGTACGGTAGGCCCTGTCGTACTCTGACTTGCTGGACAGAGCTCAGTGAGAGGAGGTTGGAAGGTCCTGATCTTGTCCGTGAGATTGAGGAGAAGGTCCGACTCATTAAGGACCGACTTCGGACAGCTTTAGACCGACAGAAGTCATACACGGATCTCAAAAGACATGATATTGAGTCCGTCGTTGGCGACAAAGTATTCATCAAAGTTTCTCCCTGGAAGAAAGTTCTTCGCTTCGGTAAGAAGGGGAAACTCAGTCCGAGGTTTATAGGTCCATACCCTGTCATTGAGCGTGTGGGACTTGTAGCTTACAGACTCGAGCTACCACCTGAGCTGAGCAAGATACATAATGTGTTTCATGTATCTATGCTACGGCGATATCGATCAGATCTGACACATATACTTCCAGTAGATTCAGTCACTCTAAACGAGAATCTAACCTATGAGGAGGAGCTAGTTGAAATCCTAGCCCGAGACGTCCGACAGTTGCGAAACAAGGAGATTCCATTGGTCAAGGTTCTTTGGAGGAGTCACTCCGTTGAAGAGGCAACGTGGGAGACCGAGGAATCCATGCGTACCCGTTATCCTCAATTTTTCAGCGATCAATGATCAGGTAAATTTCGAGGACAAAATTTTCTTAAGGGGTGGGTAATTGTAACGCCCTGTTCTGGACTAGAGTTGGGAAAAATAAAAGTTCTTAAGAAAATTATTTGAACATGTCATTAAATTCGTTTTGATTGTCTGATTCCAGAAACGCAAACGGATCTCAATTAGGACCCGTTCGGGGGGAAAATCGCATACCGTTCAGGTCAGATTTTATCAAAATGGAATGAATTTAAGGGAGGTAACCTCCCCATTTAATCCACACGCCACCCCATGCATTTCCACCCTTAACTCTTCATCAATCCCCTCTTTATTCACCATCAATTCTTGTATTTTAAAACTCCCCTTCCCATTCATTTTCCCCTTCATCATTTGTAACCCCCAAGCCATAATTCACACACTCCCTCTTCCTCTCCCTTCCCTTGTTTGGCCACAGCAGTACCTAGGCGAGGAGGTTTTCGCGAGTTGACGGGGAGGTAGAAGAATGAAGTTCACGCAAGAAGTTTGTCTGTGATCGTTCATCGTTCAGCATTGTCAACCGTTCGTTCATCTCGTTTCATCCTACCGTCAACCCCATCATTTAGAGGTGAGTAGTTGTCCCCTCTAATTCTAGAACATTTAGTTATAATCTATGTCGTTATATTCATAGGAATATCATACGCAACCTACGTAGAATCTATGCATGTTCGTAGTTTAGCCATCAAAACGTTCACTACGTAAAACTTATATATATTGGCCTAGGAATAGCTAGGAATATATTCACCAATGTTTGTATTATTGTTCTGGAAAGAATCAAGGTGTTAAGTTTTCAAAATGGAACAAAACGTAGCCAGAGATAGAAGACTGTCTTCGGGACGGTTGACCATCGCTTCGGATGGTGGCCGTACCCTCGGCCATCCTGACGGTCACCACCGTGACGGTCGACCATCGGTAGAGCAGGGTCGACCGTTCGTTAGAGTTTCGGGCAGTTTGTAGAATGAGTTCCGTTGACCACATTGACCCAGAATCTGATTGTATGTTTGCATGAAATGTTAATCTTCATTATGTATGTTATTTAATTGATATATTCTTGGCTTTGACCAAAGGTAAATATATCAAGCATTCATCATGTTCATCCTAGACGCATGTCCTAGGTTTATCATCATGTGCATACCGCAGTAGCGAGGTCAGGCTTCCGTGTGCCTACTACAGTGGGCCTGTCCAGAAACCTTTGGGATCCAACGGGTTGTCATCAGGTGGGCTTTGTGTACGTACATGGTAGTCAGGTTACGGCTACCACCTGGTTTTGCTAGTCCACTTGCGACATCTTCGTCGAGCCCGGTTCATTACCATTTTGGTATGATAATCGGAGTGCAGGGGTGATCATGTCAAGTGAGACTAATCCAGGGGTGTCCCTGATAATTTATGTCATGCATCAAGTCGTATCACCATCATGTATGTTCCACATCACATCCACATTCAATGTGGTGGTATCATTTTGTTATGTGTAATAGTACCCCATGAGGTGCAAACTGATAATTTATGTCATGCATCAAGTCGTATCACCATCATGTATGTTCCACATCACATCCACATTCAATGTGGTGGTATCATTTTGTTATGTGTAATAGTACCCCATACGCTAAGTACATGTATTAATATGTGTATAACCATATGGGTTATCACTTTATGTTCTTTTGTTAGATTCACTCCTCAGCTTTTGCTGAGTGTGTAGTTGTTTTTGCTACCCGCAGGTAGACATGACGGTACGGGTGCTAACCCTAGAGGACAGTGATGATGGGAAGATGGGCGGTGCACGGACGAGTTTTAATATTTATTTACATTTAATTAATTAATCATTTGGGCGTGAACCCACCATATGTCGTTTTACTTACTTTGGACTGGACTTATTTATTTACCTCCGCTTTACTCTGCATTTATAACACACACGTTTCTGGGTTCCCTAGCATTTATTTCACCAATTAAACACAACCGTTTTCATAATAAATAGACATTAATGTTTTCGCTACAGACGGTTCTCGGACCGCCCATGTAACCCTACCGGTCCGTTGGGTCGCGGGTGAATCGGGTCCACGGGAGGCGGGTGTTACAGAGGAATACTACATGAAGAAGGAATTCCAAAACCTTTATGAGGTGACACGAGTGGAGTATGGCCCTCGACGATCTATGTCATCCTTGCCTTCCACTTCTCAAGCACATGATGGAGAAGCCAATGAAGCCACGTAGGTTCCCGTTCGTGCTCCTAGGGTCAAACGCTCAAAGTCGGCGTCTCATGCTTCCTTGGCTTCTCTCTTGCATCGTCATTCCCACATGGCCTCCACTTCCAAAAATCCCTTCAAGAAGTTCAAAAAATTCATTCTCAAGACCGTGGTGGCTCCGATGAGGAAACTTCAAGAGAGTCTCGATGACCTCTCGGATCACATGAAGAAAATGGAGGACCGTGAGGCTTGCTGAAAGCAACAAGAGGATCGTGCTTCTAGACGTTTCTAAGTGTTGGGCATTTGAAAAAATGATCAAACATTATCTTATTTATGTTTTCAAAACAGTTACTCCCTCCGTCCCCCTGTATTTGTCCACACTTGACTTTTGGAACTATTCATCTAAGCACTTTGACTCAACAAATTCTCTCAATGTGTAAACCTAAATATAGTCATGTCTGATCTTGTTTGATTTGTCTTAACATATAGATTATTAATATATAATTTCTATAAATTTTTAATATACAAATTACAAGATAAAATGGATTAAAGAAATGCATTAGATGGTGTGTAAAAATGAAAGTGGACAAATACAAGGGGACGGAGGGAGTATGTATTTTGTTTTATGTTTCAAAACTCTTTGTCATGTCTTATGTTTCAAACTCGTATTTATGCACTTTTATGATTAAAAACCCCTTTGTTATGATTATGCTTATGGTTTGACAGCTTATGGATGCTTATGGTTTACTTGTATGCTTATAAAGTTGCCTTGGTGAATGCCTATGTGTTGAAACTTATACTTTTCGTACCCCGCCTTTTTGAGTGTTGCCAAAAGGGGGAGAAATATTAGGCTTTCATATGCATATATTTAAGGCGAGTTTTGTCAAAATCTCACGTGCATCAAACTTAGGGGGAGTTTTAAAATCAAATATGCTTTTCACAATGTGTTTGTGCGTTTGCTTATCATATTCGAAAGCCTTATTTGTCAACATCAAAAAGGGGGAGATTGTTAGCCTTGAATGCCGCACCCCGCAACCGTTTTGATGTGCCAAATAAGTCTTTAAAATGCTACTAACATTATTTGCAGGAATAAACCAAACGCCAAACCTCTATTAGCTTGATTAGCATCACCGAAATGTACTCCTACGAGCTTAGAAATATTTGTGTAAAGGTAACGGTATATTTTAATGATTTACTTATGCCCTTTCACTCAAAAATTATTTCTAAAATGAGGAATATATTCTTATTTGGGGTCATTTTGAAAACGGAACACAAAAAACGAGTTTTGGAAAATTGACACAGGTCTAACGGTACTTGGCTTCCGTGTACACGGCACCAGGGTACCTGTAACACCCTACCTTGGATGACCCGAGTCATCCAGACCAGAGTGCTAGTAAAACTCGGTTGCTTAGTAAAACATTTCTTACTTAAAATAAATTCTCATTTCGATAATCAATTGTTTAAAGACTTTTGCGAGTAAGTGAAAGAGTAGTAATGTTCATAAGTAAATACAACTTAGGGTTCAAGCCCAAAGCTAAATATGTTCAATAATTTATTCAATTATTTATTTAAAATAGAATTTCCTTCCTTAGGACGGCCTCCACGTCCAAGCTTTTCTCCTCAACAGTTGTTCCCCTTGCTAGTATCTGCGTGAACTTAAACACTACACGCTCAGCATAAGCTAATAAGTGGCAAATAACCAATAGATATATATAACATGCAAATATGTTTTAGGGCATTTTAAGTTATTTAATTCCAATGTTTTTCCCATACTTAAATCATGGAGAAAATAATCTCACTTTAGTAATTACTTGGGGATATTTAGAAAAAACAAGACTTTTTCCCTTTTATGTTAAGGATAATAACTTTGCATTGGCTCCCCTGTCTCCACATAGATTCCTACACGTGATTTCACAAAAATGACTTTTTCTAGTGGCACCTCTCGATTCTCGTATTCTAAGATCCAATATTTCTTCTTATTCTCTTTCACATTCGAGTTCCATACCTAATTCTACAATTCTATTTCTTTTATAAGTATTTCAATAAATGTAAAATATATATTGGTACATCTCATATTTTCTCGCACGTCTTTATCAAGTAATTGATTGTAAAAAAATATAAATCTTTTCCTACAAGAATATATGGATAATATGATTATCATAGTGAAATTAGAATTTGAAGCACCTAAGTTTAACGGAAATCTCATGCACGTACGTTTTTAGTTATAGCCTTATAGGTATAATTATAGTGTTATTAAATCCATTTTATTTAATGCTTACCGTTTTATTTCTTATTTTGCTCTTAATTTTTTTTACGAAGTTATTGTTTGATAAATAATTCTCCCTCCGTCCCAAAAAGTCTTTCCTGTTTCATTTTTTGCACATCCCATAAAACACTTCTACCGACATCTAAAATGTCTAAAATTTACAACATTTCTTCACTACGTCAAAAACAGATGTATTTTTAATTTATAAGTTGTATTCGAGTCAGATTTTAAGAGTATATTCTTTTTGTTGGAAAAATTAACTTCTCATTTTTTCTATGCCCTTCTAGATCTTGTCTGATCTAATATGATGAGATCTAGTCTGATTTCATCTGATATGATTACAATTATAAGTAAAGTTGTTTCTGATCAGATCCAAACTGATTTTTATTAGAATAAGATAATGATGAACAACGTGTATACATGTTCAAATTGAATTTCTTAAGTAATGTAGACAGACACTAGTGAACTAACATAACCGAATGACTTGGGATATAAGTCATTTAGGCACATAGTGGTGATCCTAAATAAAAAAATAAACTAGGCAGATAATTGTTTTTTATGATTAGATTTGATCTTCTTGGATTTGAATTTGATTTGATTTGTTTTTATCTGTTTTGGTCTAATTCGATCTAATTTGATCCGATCTGATGCATTTATATAGATTAGATCAGGCAAACAGGACACAACCTATATAATTAAATTGTTTTTTTGAAGATTTGATCTGATCTTAATATATTTGAATTTGATTTGATCTCATTAGATCTATTCTGGTCTGATTCAATCTAATTAGATCCGATATGATGCATTTAATGATGAAATATACAAGCAATCAGACCTGATTGGATTTGACTTGATCTTATCTTATATTATCTAATTAGATCTAATCTTGACCGATCTAACTGGAATTGATCTAATCTTCTTGATCTAATTGTACTCGTTTAATTTGTTTTGATATAATCTTATTTGATGAGATATGATTTGATTAGATATAATCTAAAAAACCGAACGCCGAACTCCGAATGTCGTACGCCGATGCCGAACACCGACCTAGGTGGTTTTGGTTCTGAGCAATGACCAGGGATTTTAATACAATGAAGCTTTCAAAAATGTTTATTTGATGCACAAAAAACGTTTTATGATTTTGTAAAATTATTTTGACTCTTTGAGAACCGAGTCTTGAATTGATTGTCGGTTTTGATCACAAAAGACTGACTCGACTACGTCTTCAATTCTTGATCTTGTCCTTGAGTCTTTTGGTCTTGTTCCATGCCATTCTTCACGCCTTGAGTTATTCAACGAAACTCTTCATATCCATGGCAGTTTGGCAATTATCAAAACCTGTTAGAAATGAACACGACTTTAGTTTAACGTAATAAAAAGTGTGTTCCAACAATTTCCCCCTTTTTGGTAATGGCAAACAAGACAGGGATATGCAAAGGGTTTTGATCTTTTTGAAAGAAATTCCTCCTTAATAAAACTTCCCCCTTAATATATGCATAGCCCTTATCTTCCCTCTTTTGACATTAACAAAAAGATTTAACAACAAAAACCATAAAGATTTTTATTCATTAAATAAGGAAAAGAGCTAGAGCTCTAGAAATCTGGTGAAAGATCATCGAGGAGTTGTTCTTCGTTGATGTCTTCCTCTTCATCATCATCATCATCATGTTCTTCTTCTTCGGCTTCCTCTTCCTCTTCTTCCTCATCGTTTGCCTCTTCTTCTCCACCAACATTGTTAGTCCCGCTTGGTTCACCACCGAGGTTTGCCGGAGGAACATAAGGGACCATTTGAGCGTAGGGATAGTTGACAAAGTCAAAATACTCGGGAAGCTCACGGATCAAAATATTGACATTTTGGGCTGTTTGGGAGACGTTGGTGTCAATCCGAGAGAGAGTGGCGGTCAAGGCGGCCATTTGCTCGGCGAGAGAAGGGTTGGTCGAATCGGTGGCCCTTGGTTGGCGCGTGGACGAGGCTATCGAAACGGAGTTTCGTCGGTGCCCGAGGGAAGGAGGATTCATCAATCTCCCAATGCTTCGTCCCTTTGCATTTTTCCCAACGTTCGTATTGATGTGGAACTCATCAAGGATCGCCATGACGAGAAGAGCATAGGGAAGCGGCCGGTTGTCGGAGGTGGCATTGAACATGTGAGTCATCACAAACTTACACCAATTGATATTGGCGTTGTGAATCATCGCATGAAGCGTCTTCGTGTCCTCTTGGGAAAGAGCGGTGTGATTGAACTTCCTTGGCTTGAGAATTCGTGTCAAAACATAAAAAATGAAGCGAAACACGGGACTCATGAAAGTAATCGTAGGGCGCCGCTGTTGGGGAGTGGGGACGAAGTCTCTGATGCCCACTTCCTCCAAGAGTGCAGTCTCGTTGAACCGCGCTCCTTCTTCTCCGACATAGAGGCCGAGATCTTGTCCGTTCCGACGAAGCCCTGTGAGAATTTGAATGTTTTCCTCATTCAAATAGATGTCCACCCCGTTGACGTTAGAAATCAACGCTCCGTCCTCATCCTTTTTCAAGTTCGAGAAGAAAGCTCGAACAAGAAAAGGTTGATAATGGTGCTTCTTGATATAGAGGAGATCGAGGAAATTTCCACGCTCGAGGATAATCCGTGCCTCGCGAGGGATGGAATCATGAATGAAGTGGGCGGTGGAGAACCGGGGAGGAAGAATTTCCTGGTGCTCAAACTTTTCCGAGAAACGTGTGGCCTTAGCGCGGTTGTTGAACCAAAGGAACGACCCGCCGAGATACTTGTGTGTCGACGGTGGAGGAGCCGAGGAGGAGGGGACGTTCTTGCCGGTGCGGGATCTTTTTCTTTGACCTCCTGCCATGAAATCAGATGGAGAGAGAGATTGCAGAAATTTTTAAAAAATATGAAGAACAAGAGCAAGAATTGATGTAATTTGATGAATATATGAAATAAATTGGAATGGAATGAGTAAAAATGAAGGGATATCACCAATTTATAGAGTTGGAGGCCTAGAGATCCGTTGGTGGAGTCAAACATCAATTAAATGCTTTTCAAACGGCTAGAAAATAGTCAGATTTTTAAAAATCTACTGTTGGTAATCGATTTACAACTTCTATAAATCGATTATTGTTGACCTCTGATTCTCCGCCGAAGGACCTGCAGGCTTCAATAGTCGATTTACACCATGTGTATAATCGATTATTGCTGGTTTGCGCCTGTTTTGCTCCAAACTTCTGCAGGCTGGGATAGTTGATTATTCTAATGATGATAATCGATTGTTGAGGTTTGCGGTTGCTTTGCTCCAAACTTCCGCGGGCTGTGATAGTCGATTATCACAAGCCTGTAAGTCGATTTACACCAAGTCTGGAAATCAGAAATCGATTTACTTTGTTCCCCCTGACTTAGACACCTGAAAATAAAATTAAAAGAAAAGTCCTGCAAAAAAGAATTAAAAATGTCTCCGACGTTCAAATTAGTAGGGACCAAAAATGATAATTAATGCACAACTTAGATCATCGTGGAGTCAAGGATTCCGAGTTCACTGCGAATGCGGAAGAACGACTCTCTCTCTAAAGGTTTTGTTAAAATATTGGCTAATTGGTTGTGTGTTTCAACGAACTCAATTTCGACATCAGGTTTGAGAACATGATCTCTAATGAAATGATGTCTAATGTCAATATGTTTCGTCCTTGAGTGAAGAACCGGATTCTTCGTCAAGCTTATGGCACTAGTATTATCACATCGAAGAGGGACGTGATCGATACTAAGGCCATAATCCACTAGTTGTTGCTTCATCCAAAGGATTTGAGCACAACAACTACCGGCGGCAACATATTCCGCTTCGGTTGTGGATAACGCAACACTGACTTGCTTCTTACTAAACCATGAGACTAAAGAACTACCAAGCAAGTGACAAGTCCCACTCGTACTCTTACGGTCTAATCTACAACCAGCAAAGTCCAACGTTCATTGTACCAGCAAGATATTTCATTATCCGTTTCACCGCCGTTAAATGTGATTCTTTCGGACAAGATTGATACCTTGTACATAAGCAAACGCTAAACATGATATCGGGTATACTAGCGGTAAGATAAGGAAGGGATCCGATCATACCTCGATACTTCTTTACGTCTACTTCCTTACCCTTTTCATCTTTGTCCAAGTGCTCGGAGGTGCTCATCGGGGTAGCCATTGCCTTGGAGCCATCCATTTAAAATCTTTTTAGGAGCTCCTTGCAATACTTTGATTGACAAATGAAGGTTCCTTCTTTCATTTGTTTGACTTGTAAGCCCAAGAAGAAATTGAGTTCCCCCATCATGGACATCTCAAATTCATTTGTCATTAAGATTGAAATTTCCTTGCACAAAGATTCGTTAGTAGCACCGAATATAATGTCATCTACGTAAACTTGCACCAAGAGGATGTTGTCGTTTTAACTCTTGATAAAAAGTGTAGTGTCAAACTTCCCCCTTTTGAACCCGTTGTCCAAAAGAAATTTGCTCAAACGTTCATACCAAGCACGAGGTGCTTGTTTAAGACCGTAGAGTGCTTTCTTTAGTTTATAGACATACTCCGGGTGCTCAAAATCCTCAAAGCCCGGGGGTTGATTAACATATACTTCCTCTTGAATAAAACCATTGAGGAAGGCACTCTTAACATCCATTTGGTATAGTTTAAAATCCATAGATGAAGCAAAAGCGAGTAATAAACGAATAGCTTCTAAACGTGCTACCGGTGCAAAAGTTTCTTCAAAATCAATTCCTTCTTCTTGATTGTAGACTTTAGCTACGAGCCTAGCTTTGTTTCTAGTGATTATCCCATTTTCATCGAGTTTGTTACGGAACACCCATTTCGTACCATTTATGGTGTGATCATCAGGTCTTGGCACCAATTCCCAAACGTCATTTCGTTTGAATTGGTTAAGCTCCTCTTGCATTGCCAAGGTCCAATGTTCATCATCAATTGCTTCCGAAATGGTTGTAGGTTCAATTTGAGAAACAAAAGCCATGTGACCTACGGTGTCCCTAAGAGAGCTATGAGTACTTACCTTTCGGTTGATGTCACCAATTACCTTGTCAAGAGGATGGTTCTTTGAAGTCCTCCATGCCCTTGGCATTGGCGTTTCCTCCTCTTGTGGTTATTCCTCGTTTACGGGTGGCTCTACTTCTTCATCTTGGCTTTCGTTTGAGTTGTCTCCTTTGTCATTGTCGTTGAGATAGATGTTCTCTAAGGAATCTAAAAGATCATCACAAGAAACCTCTCTCGCCAAGCGAGCATCATTTTCGGCAAAGACAACATGAGGAGACTCCTCAATGGTTAAGGTGCGTTTGTTGAAGACTCTATAAGCCTTACTACGCAATGAATAACCACGAAAAATTCCTTCATCTGACTTTGCATCGAATTTACCCAAGTTATCTTTTCTGTTATTGTGAACAAAACATTTGCAACCAAAGACTCGAAGATGGGAGAGGTTTGGCTTTCTTCCTTTGTATAATTCATATGGGGTTTTCATGAGTATCGGTCTGATGACAGCTTGGTTTAACATGTAGCTCGCGGTACTCACGGCATCCGCCCAAAAATACTTATGAATTTTTGCCTCATCGAGCATAGTTCTAGCCATCTCCTCGAGACAACGATTTTTACGTTCCACCACGCCATTTTGTTGTGGTGTACGTGGAGCGGAGAAGTTATGCTCGATGCCTAGCTCGTCACAAAACTCGGTAAAGAGATCTCGTTCGAACCCTACACCATGATCGCTTCGTATGGCCACGGTGGTTAAGCCTTGTTCATTTTGAACCTTTTTGAGAAAAGTTTTGAAAACATGAAATGCCTCACTTTTGTGAGTTAGAAATAGTGTCCATTTGAATCGAGAGTAGTCATCAACAATCACAAAGGCGAAATAGTTTCCCCCAAAACTTTTTGTTCTTGATGGTCCAAAGAGATCCATGTGCAAAGTTGTAGGGGCCTTGTTGTAGACACAACATTTTTCGATTTAAATTAGGCCCTTACTTGCTTGCCCTTTTGACATGAATCACAAATGGTATCCTTCTCAAACTTGAGTTTTGGAAGGCCAACTACTAAGTCTTGTGAAACCAATTTATTCAAAAGGTTCATGTTGACATGAGCTACTCTACGATGCCATAGCCACATATCGTCCTCCTTACTCGTGAGACATTTGGCAAAGTCGGAGGGAGATTCATCTAAGTTAACCATATAAATATTATCGATTCTATCACCATGAAGAATCATCTTATTGTCACTAAGACGTTCTACCGTGCATGATTTAGAATCGAAGGTCACACGATTTCCCTTGTCACACAATTGACTTATGCTCAAGAGATTGTGTTTAAGACCCTTAACCAACAACACATTATCAATAGAGGAGGATTCGTTTTTACCAACCGAACCAATGCCGATTGTCTTGCCTTTTCTATTATCGCCAAAGACAACATTTCCTCCTTTAGTTGGTTTGATTTGCAAGAACTTGGATGCATCTCCGGTCATGTGCTTGGAGCATCTGCTATCAAGGTACCAAAGTACACTTGATGCCTTCAAGCACACCTACAAATCAATTTAAAAGGATTTAGGTACCCAATTCATTTTGGGTCCTTGGGCGTTATGTGCACGTTGGTAGTGTGATTGGTTTTGAGTGCAATGCCTATGCCTAGTGAAAAAACCGGGGCTATATGTCCTACCCTATTGCAATAATAACAAATAACATTTGGATTTTGCATTATCCTAGGTTGATAATAGTTACTAGGTTTTCTATATTGATTGATCCTAGTTTGAGAAAAATTTTGTTTATTATTTGAAAAATTGTTTCTAGGTTCTCTAACTTGACCCTTGTTTATCCTAGTGTTCTTTCTACGTGGTCTAGTGTTCCTAGTTGTTGTAGGTTGTCTAGGTGGTTCCTCAACTTTTTCCTTATTATTATTGGTTTCATTTTCAAATCCTAAGCCATGTTTAGTAATTTGCAAATTGTCAAGAACATCATTAAGGTTTTTATGAGAAACACCAAACTTCTTCAAAGAGCTACATTTTGAACTTTCCGTTTTGTCGGCGATTCTTTTTCCAAAAAACTTGTTTTCTTCTTTAAGTTTTTCATTATCTTTTGATAGTTAATCAACTTCCTTCTCCATGGAAGTAAGTTGTTTCTTCAAATCCTTGTTAATTTTAGAAGCGTTGACATATTCATCATAAAGTTCATTAAAGGCTTCTTGTACATCATCAAAAGTGTAGGAATCTTTAGAAGTGGTACATACCTCTTCCGGTGGTTCCTCGTGTGCCATGAGGCAAAGGTTGGCGCTTTCATTTTCTTCGCCTTCCGATGACTCGTCGCCGGAATCACCTCCCCACGAAATGTACGCTCGGTGCTTTTTGAATAGTTTCTTCTCCTTCTCATTCTTGGCATTTGGGCATTTCGGTTTGATATGCCCAACTTCTCCACACCCATAGCACTGGGGTGGTCCTCCATGCCTCTTGCTCTTTCGTTCATACTCCTTGCGCATGAACTTGTGGAATTTCTTGATAACGAGCCAGAACTCATTGTCTTCATCGCTTGATTCCTCCACGACGGGTTCTTGGCTCGTGGAAGCCTTGAGTGCAATCCCCTTCTTCTTTTGTTCACCTAAAGAGGGGAAAAGAATGGTAGACTCATAGGTTTTGAGGTTACCTCTAAGCCCGTCGATGGTGACATTGGTGATGCTGATGGACTCTTGGATGGCATCGTCTTTGGAGCGCCATTCCAGTGTGAGACTCCGCAGGATTTTTCTCACAAGCTCCTTGTCTGTGTACGTCTTCTTGATAGCACAGAGATCATTGACGATTTTGGAGAATCGTTCAAACATCTCATCGATTTTCTCATTCTCCTTCATATGAAAGAATTCATATTCATGGGTTAGAAAATCAATTTTAGCTTCTCGGACTTGATCTGTACCTTCATAGGTGATTTCCAATTTGTCCCATATTTCCTTGGCAGTGGAACAACAAGAGATTTTCCGGTAGTCATCCGGGTTTACGGCACAATAGATGATATTGATGGCCTTGGCATTGTTCTCTACTTTCTTGATGTCTTGTTCATCATACTCATTCTCGGTCTTAGGGACGTTGGTTTCCCCGACCTTCTTGATGATTCTCCACAAGAGAAAGTTGGTGGATTGGATGTAAATCCTCATCCTCTCCTTCCAATACGTGTAGTTCGTTCCGTCAAACAACGGAGGCCTCGTAGTGGATTGCCCTTCACCTAAACCTGCGTATGAGTTTTGAGTAGAAGCCACTGATCGTTTCTCTCAAACGATTAAGTCTTTCAGAGAGTATGGCTCCGATACCAATTGTTAGAAAATAGGCCTAATGCTAGAGGGGGGGTGAATAGCGTTTAAAACAAAATCGCAGGAAATTAAAAACGAGAGCGATAAAGTAAAGAGCCTAAGGAAGGAACACACCGAATTTTATCCTGGGTTACCAGAACGTGTGGCTAATCCAGCCTCCCGAGAGACTCTCTCGAACTACACTAACTCCTTTAAGCTTAAAGGTACTCAACAAACCAATACAACTTGAGAACCCGAGTCACACGAGCCTCAACGCCTTTGCTCGGAGATACCGCACTCCAAGACTTCTCACGAAGGAACGAAAGACTTCCTTCGAGTTTACAAGAAGGGAAAACCTCCCTTAAAGTGTATAGAAACACTTAAACACTCAGGAATAACACTCTCACAAAGAGTAGATATGAGTGAACTAGTAAACGCTCAAGAACACGACAATTTCTTCAAGAATTGGCTCTCAAATAGCTAAGAAAAATAGGAATTCTTATGCAATGAAAGAGTATTGAAATGTTGAAGAATTGTGTGTAAAATGAGAGGATTTGGGTGCAATTTTATAGCCTAAAATGGGATAAACCCGTTGCTAAACTTTCCAACAGGATGAAGACAAATTTTTCAGAGACACAGGGTGATAGTCGATTGTCTAGCCTTGATAATCGATTATCAAAAGATTCCCTGTCCAAAAATTTAAAATTCTATCCGTTGGAGGACAACGGTAACCCAGACAGTCGATTGTCAACAAGTGATAATCGACTATTGGTCCTCTCAGAAGTTCCTGGGTTTTGGCTGCAGATTGTGATAATCGATTGTTGCAAAAGTGACAATCGATTATTGCGTGCTTTACAACTTTAAGTTCAAAGCTGCGGAGGCTGATAGTCGATTGTCACTAAGGTGATAATCGATTATCACCCAGCTAAGACCTAGCCGGCGAAAACCCGTTTTAAAAAACCGAGGTCCAAAAACGAAGCGTTCCCAAAAGTAAAAACCAAGTTTGAAAAACATTGAATATGGTATAAAATAGTTAAAACAAAACTTATTTGGTAAAAACCATGTTTTCAAGGTCGTAAATCACGTGCGTACGGTATTGACCGTTTTTCACGTGTTGGACCGATTGACCAAGATATAAAAGTGGTTTTTATAAAATAATTCTTTGGGAACCTTTTAAATATGCTCAAAGAGAAAAAAACGAGGTTTAAAACATTCAAAACCACCGAGTTGGTTCGGGCGCCAAAAACCGAACGCCGAACCCCGAATGTCGTACGCCGATGCCGAACACCGACCTAGGTGGTTTTGGTTCTAAGCAAGGACCAGGGATTTTAATAGAATGAAGCTTTCAAAAATGTTTATTTGATGCACAAAAACGTTTTATGATTTTGTAAAATTATTTTGACTCTTTGAGAACCGAGTCTTGAATTGATTGTCGGTTTTGATCACAAAAGACCGACTCGACTACGTCTTCAATTCTTGATCTTGTCCTTGAGTCTTTTGGTCTTGTTCCATGCCATTCTTCATGCCTTGAGTTATTCAACGAAACTCTTCATATCCACGGCGGTTTGGCAATTATCAAAACCTGTCAGAAATGAACACGACTTTAGTTTAACGTAATAAAAAGTGTGTTCCAACAGCAACCAAACATGATTGGATTGGAATTGATCTTATCTAATCTAATTAGATCTAACTTGACTGATCTAATTGGAATATATCTAATCTTCTTGATCTAATTGTAGCTATATTTAAAACTCTTTCTAATTTAATATTGTCTAATATGCTTGATCTAATTGAAGTTATATTCGTCATCACTGGACATTATGGACATTATTAAGTGCTATTTAGGGAATAAAATAATTTAAGTGCTATTTAGAGAAAAGAACAAAGTTTTAGTGCTATTTAGTGCAAATAATTATTTAAAGATTAGATTAGGCAAAGTGAGTTTTTAAATGGTTCTAACAAATTATATCCCTAATCAAACCGAACTGTTTTCATAATAGTACAGGATGAGTTTCCAAAAAATAAATAGTGAAAATACCTAATCGCTACCACTATAATAATAATAATATAATAAATTAGTTATACATTTTTTTGTTAATTTAATTTCTTACTCACATGGATCCAATTCCACAAGATACTCATATTTTTGACTGTATAACATCATAGCGGTACTGATAACTAAACTAGTTACTTGCATAATTCCAGTTTGGCTAATCAAATCTTTAAATTCATCAGATTGGATATAATTAGATTGAATTAGACCAAAACAGATCTAAGCGGATAATATCAAATTCAAATCCAATAAGGTCTGATCAAATCTTAAAAATATCTTTTTACTTGTACAATTTGTGTCATATTTACCTGATCTAATCCTTAAATGTACGAAATCCGATCTAATTAGATCGAATTAGACCAAAACAGATCTAATCAGATCAAATCCTATGTATTTAAGGATTAGATCAGGCAACTATGACATGACCTATACAATTAAATTGATTTTTTAAATATTTGATCTGATTAAATTGGCCTATGTATTAAATTCTATTTATTAATTATCAATTATGTTTTTAACTAAAATTATTTTTAAAAAGATGATATTTTACACGTCCTCCAAAATGTCCCAAACAATTTGGAATGGAGGGAGTACATGTTAAAAACCAAAAAATACTCTATAATGTCAATATAAAATGTTACAATAAAATTTTTTATTTTGAAATTAAAAACATTCACTACAAGAAAACGCCAAAACGATGACGGATTGTAGCGACGGAAATTAGTTCGACGCTAACCGCGATAGATTTAGCAACGGAATCGTACGCCAACCAAAACTAATGACGGAAAGAAAGATCTGTCGCTTCGTATTGGTGGGAGGTAGTGCGCGGCATTTTCAACGACGGAATTACTAACGGAATTTTCCGTCGTTATTTTTGGCGACTGATTAATTCCGTCGCTGAAGGACTTTTATTGAAACGCTGCATTTTGGTCTGGCGACGGATTATATCCGTCACTACTTTCCGTCGCGTTAAAAAACAGATCTATAACCCTTCCTCAGTTTCACCAATTTGCAGACAGAAAGAAAAGGGAAACCTCGTCGAATCTCAGCCCTGTCCAAATCGTCGTCGAATCTCCTCCGCCGCACCGTCCGCTCGTCGTCTCCGCCCGCCACCATCAACCGCTAGTCCTCCTTGCCGTCCAGTCATCGTCGCGTCTTCATCTCAGGTTTTGTTTTTTCAATTTTTCATCTCTTATTCAATTTCCATTTGTGAATTAATTTTTTTTATTATAATGGTATTGTTTACATTAGGGTTTTTAAAATATCATATTTTGTTTATAATTACAAATTTAGTTTTAATTTTATAATTATTTTAGGTTAGGGTTTGTTTTTCAAAATTTAGTCATTTGTTTTAACAAATTTAATTATATTCCTTAAACTTTTAGTGAATCAATATTGTGCTTATTAATTGTTTAATATGTTATTTTATATATTGTATGTTTTATAGGAGGAATGAATTTATGCTTATTAATTGTTATATTGTACATATTGTTAATGTTACATGAGGATTGATTGTGTATGTTACGTTGTTGAATATTGTAGTTGTTCTGATCCATTTATATTATATTTTTTATATTATATTTTTAAGTTTGTTTGTAATAAATTCTAGAACTTAATAGTATCTTAATTTTAATTATATGTTTGAATTTCTCAGAATGAGTGACCTTCACGAAAATCGAGATTGGATGTATAAAAGACTTGATAGCTCAGGTTTTATAAATACAGATTGGGTTGACAAAGTTAGACAATTCATTGAGTTTTGTGAGTCAAATCCAAAAGTAGACAGATTCAACGGGCAGATGTGTTGTCCTTGTAAGATTTGTAAGAATAAATATTTTAAAGATATCGAGGACATTAAGCTTCATGTACTGAGACAAGGTTTCACTCCTAAATATCTTGATTGGGTTTGCCATGGGGAGGAACATAGTGACTATACGAGCCATCATCGGCGTCGTAAATTTGCTCGTACCTTTGTTGAAACCGAAAGGGCAGAATACATGAATATGGTGATTGATGCTGCGGGGCCTTCCTTTAATCCTAACGTTCCAGTTGAGGAGGAACCAAATGCTAGTGACAAAAAATTTTTTGACATGCTAAAAGCCGCTGATACCGACTTATGGAAAGGTTGCACTAGAATGTCCCAACTCTCGATGGGTGCAAGATTACTCAAAATTAAGGCAGAGCACAATTTGTCTGAGAGGTGTTACGACACTATATGCCAACTGTTCAAAGACGGACTTCCGGAGGACAATTCAATGGTTTCTGATTTTTATGAGACCAAAAAACTCATTCAATGTTTAGGACTACCAGTGGAGAAAATTCACTGTTGTGTCCAAGGTTGCATGCTTTTTTGGGGCCCAGATGCTGAGCTAACTACATGTAAAATTTGTGAAAAGCCTCGTTACAAAGACTCTATAAAAAAGATACCAAATAGATACATGTTCTATTTTCCCCTAACGCCGAGGTTAAAGAGATTGTACATGTCAAAGAGAACATCGGAGTCTATGCATTGGCATGCGGAGCACAGTCACGATAGTGATGGAGATATGTGCCATCCTTGCGATTCTGAGGCCTGGAAGCAATTCAACCTTTCTAATCCAACATTTGCTTCTAAAGTTCGAAATGTAAGGTTGGGTCTCTGCACAGATGGTTTTCAACCTTTCGGCCAATCGGGTTCTCAATACTCCTGTTGGCCAGTAATGGTCACTCCTTACAATCTCGCGCCCAATATGTGCATGAAAGAGAAACACATATTTTTGTGTGCGATAGTTCCGGGTAAGTCTAATCCCAAACAAAAGATTGATGTTTACTTACAACCATTAATTGGGGAATTGTAGATGTTGTGGTCCGAAGGCATTGAAACGTTTGATGTGTCGTTGAGTCAAAACTTTACAATGCGTGCTGCACTATTATGGACTATTGGAGACTTTCCGGCATTGGGAATGATGTCTGGTTGGACAAATATTAGAGGAGATTGAGAGGCTCGGATTGAGAAGGATTGTGGAACCTGGGGCAGAAGAGACAAACAAAGATGTTTGTAAACACCATCTTTGTGGTTGGAGAAAGAAGAGCATATTTTGGGATCTTCCGTACTGGAAGACAAATCTTGTACGACATAATCTTGATGTTATGGACATAGAAAAAAATGTATTCGAAAATATTTTTAATCTGTGATGGATGTCCAAGGTAAAACAAAAGACAATGCCAAAGCTAGGGAGGATATGAAGTTATTTCGCAACAGGAAAGAGTTGGAAAGAGATTGTGCATCGGGAAAATATCCTCAGGCAGCATACACTCTTGACAAAGCTTCACGAAAGGCTTTTTTAGATTGGGTAAAGGGGTTGCGATTTCACGAAAGGCTTCTGACTTGTACTCTTCGTACACACACACACACACGAAGAAACATGATGGGAAGACCTACGTCATTAAGAAGGCAGAAGAAGTATCAGTAAGTGACAATGAATATATATAATGTATATATAAATGATTAGTTTTCGGTGGATTCAATTGAATGTGAATTCATACTGCTCATTTTATTTTGCTTTTTATGTTACAAAGTATTCATACATGTATGTTTTGTGTATTGCAGCAAAACTACGTAGCCATGCAGGAGGCAGTTCGTGAAGAAGGATTATATGTGACACCTGACGAGATTTTTCTATCTACAGTCGAAGGACATGATGCCAAGAATTGTGTTCATGGTGTTGGAGATCTCGCACGGAGCCTACCACGAATGCATGCAAGTGAGGCAAGACGTGTTAGCACCAGCTCTATGTGGGACCCTCGAGATGATGAGATTCGGAGTTTGAGAGAAGAGCTAGATGAAATTAGAACTTCCCAAGCGCATGAATTATTGTCGATTAGAGAAAAGATGACCCGACTTTATGGAGGAGTTTTCCCACGTGGAAATGGAGATGGCGGTGGAGATGGAGGAGGGGCGGGGTTTGCAGGGGCTTGTTGAGTGTTTTATTAGAATTGAAGAACAATATATTAAACTTAAGTTTTATGGTTATGTAAGTGGAGTTAGATTTGATTGTTATGTTGAATTTTTATAAATATTATTTGATTTTTAGTTGTACATTGGTGACTTGAATATTCTTGGTTGTTTGTTAATCTTCATTTCCAGTAATTGTTGTTGTTTGATGCTGGGATTTCTGAGCTTTGCTATGGATGTGTGCGAATTTGAAAAAACAGCAGCTTCCTGGTTGTAACCTGTCAAATTGGCGACGGAATTGCATTTCCGTCGCCAAATGGTCAAAATGCATATTCCGTCGCTAAAACTATCGTAAGTTCCGTCGCGTATTTCCGTCGCCACTTCCGTCGTAGACTAGCGATGGAATCAAAAATCCGTCGTTACATTTACTACTAACGAAAAATTAACAACGGAATAGATTCCGTCATTATTTCCGTCGTTACGAAGATTACCTACGAAAATAAGTCTTTGGCGACGGAATTATTCTCTCGCCATTTCAGCAGTTTTTTGTAGTGATTAATATTCTATTATAGTACATTTTCTCTTTTTTACTTCTATTTTGAGTGATATTGTTTTAAAGAATTACTAATTTTTTTGAAATAAAAAATACAGAGTAAAAGGATAAACTAATTAAAGATAAAATTTAAAGAAGTGAAACTTAGGAGAGTAGATGGGACGAAAAAATAGAGGGAAGATAAAAGTTTTGACAAAAGAATGAGAGGGAAGAAGATTTCGTAAAGGAGAGGGAAAAAAATTTGGCAAAGGAGGGAAAATATTAGGTTAAAAATTTTAAGTCCACACAACCTGCACCGCAAAGTCATTCAGCTGCACTCAGATAAGGAGTAGATGGGAGTTTCTCTCTCTAGGGCGTAAGAGTGCTGGGCAGTAACTCGAATTATTGTTCACTGCCTTCTTCCCTTGGATTCTTCCAATTTTTTGTGGCTCTTCTTTGCACAATTTTTGGAACCCTGGGTAGATATGACTGTTGGGGACTTGTCGTGCGGTCCAAAACAAATTAAAAATTTATAAAATAACCTTAGCTAACCCCCAAAATATAGTCAAATAAAAACTATAGCTACGGCAAGTAAGGGTTGATCTCACGGAGAAAGTTTGTACTTTTGAAATCAATATAGCATGCACACACATTGTCACAAAAAAAAAGAAACTAACTACTACACATATGATAAGACTTAAAAAAAACTTTTAATTAAATAAATATAAAAACTTATAAATATAACTTATATAAACAAAGAACTTATAATATAACTTAAACACAACACAAAGGGGGGAGGGGGTTTGAATAAAAAGTAAATATTTTTTGGTTTTTTATATTTTCTTATTTTTTTTGTTTTTTGATTAAATGGGGGAAAACAAGCTCTAAAGATAATCAACTCTTTCAACTACGGTAACCCAAAAAACACCGCCAAGAACCCGAAACAAAATGAAAAAGAGAACAAACACAAATTGAACATTACACGTATAATAGGCACTTAGACACTATATTACGTAACCTACGCACTTAAGAGTAGAAAAATCAATCAAAGGCCGAGTCGATTCATTTCCTTAACCACGATATGGAGGATTGTCAACTCTCCACACGCCCCGGAGTCATGTAATTCAAAGGCCCATTTTGAAATATACCTTAGAACCCCAACTCACCAATCAAGCATGAAAACATACTTCCACTATAGAAAACGTTTTTAAAAGAGCGAATTTTTTTCATTCTAACTCTCATGCATAATATATTCACAAACCGTCAATAACTTATGCATTTTAATAAACTTTTTCTCCTAATGATGAGCACATTTCACAGATTTCCATGAACTTCTCAAACTAATTACGTTTTTTCTATTCACATAGATGAACACAACATATTTTCAATAAATCGAGAATTGTTTTTGAGCTTAAACAACCTTAATTTTATAAAAATAACAAACAAACATACGAGAAAACATACACAATCACTTAATAACGAATTCTAAGAATAATGAATCAACTTATGGGGCTAAGAAGTCCAAAATTCTTAAAATCAACGAACACAATGCACAAAAAAGATTCACGTATGAATTCGGAGTTCATTTAACTACCTTATGGAGCTAAAATAGCTTCAACAAAAACCGAATTCCGCATACCAACCTACTTATGAAATCAAATTATGCAATTCAACCAATTTAACAACAATTTGCTCAATAATTGAAGAAAAACTAGTTTGAATCAATTTTCATTCACAAGGGATTTAATATAAACATTAAAAAAACCCAAAAAGAAGAACACCAACCATTTTTTAGAATTTTCAAAATTAAAACAACAAGGGAAAAGAATGTAAATTGAATCAAAAACAAACTTTTACAAAGAAATTGGAGAAGAAAAAAGAAATTGACAATTATTGGGTTACCAAATGGAGGAAGAAGATGAAGAAATTGGAGCTGTGACGGAACAGCCTAACCTCTGCCCAGAGCTACTGCTGACCGCTCGCCGGAACTGATGCCGCCGCCGGTTCGCCATAGCAGCAGCTTGGCCGCTGCTTTATTCTCGTGTGTTTCCCCCCCTTGAATTGTTGCAATTTGCCTTCAATTTATAGTCCAAGCCTTTCTTCCCGTTGAATGGTTGCCGTTGGAAAATTGAATGAGAAGCGAAGATGGAGGAGAGACGTTGGAGCATTTCGAAGAAGACGAAGTCGCTGCGTGAAAGATGTCTGCGCTATTCTCCGTTTTTTTTCCTTTGTTGCTAGAGAGAAAATGAGAATGGATTGGATGCTTGATTCTTTTAATGTAGGATTTGGGCTTGGCCCAAATTTGATCTCTTCCTTTAAAACTTGGACTTCTGATTCGGCCTTTTGCAACATTTTTCTCCAAAAAATAAGATATCTGATAATTTTGGGTTAGGAAAAATAAAATAAAAATGATAAAGCGTAAAAAGTGATTAAAAACTACTATTTATGAAAAAAATAAAAAGATAGTAAAAATAAGAATTAAAATAAAACTAAGCTAAAAGACTAAAAATTAAACTGTAATAATATTAAAAATGGCTAAAAAAGAATAAAAAGAACTAACAAATCTCATGTGCAATCCTTTTTGTTTTGATTTAGATCTGCGCTCTCTCTTACTCATTTTGTGAGATTTCCTTCTTCCTGGCCAATCTTTTCTTCTTCGCCAGGTTTCGTTCGCCAACGCCGTCTTTGTCGCCGGGTTTGTGTGAATCGAGGGTCATCTTCATGCATCGCAAGTTTGATTTCGCATGGTTTCAAGCCAAATTTATGAGGGATCGTGAGCGACTTACATGACCTACTAAGATTCCGAAGTTGGTTTCCATCTCCAATCCAAGATTCTTCAGTTTTGGTCAAGTTTGTGGCTTCGATGCACTATTCACGGTGCAACCTTTTACTGCCCACGTTCTTGCACGTATTCTCTCCATTTTTGGTGATTCTTGGCTGTTTTCAGCAGATTTTAATGATCTATATTTGGGTTTTAATTCAATATACTGGTGGTGAAACATTGATTATAAGATTTGTTATAAGAAAACATGTTTGGCAGTAGTTTTGTGCAAACGTATTTTAGAATTTGAAAACAAAAGAAATCTTGATATATAAAAGAAAAATAAAAGTTGTGATACAAAACCATACTAGTGAATTTCATCTAATGAACACTTTTGGTCAAAGAATTTCCTAGAAGGAAAAAGAGGCAAGGTCAGTATGTAGTATTTTCTTTTCTCCCCTCATTTAGTGTATTTGGTTAAGATATTTAGAGTTTTTTTTTTCTTTTGAAAATTTATTTAAAGCAGTTGGAACTTTAAAAAGCACCCTTTTGAAGAGACTTAATATGTGATTCAGGAGGTTATGACATGGAGGAGAAAGAAACAAGGGCATATGATCTTGTTGCTCTCAAGTATTGGGGGTCTTCAACCCATGTTAACTCTCCGGTATGATTATATTTGATCCACTAGTTTGAAATTAAAACTTTATTTGTTTGTTAATATGCATTTTTAAGACGAGTTCTTTATGATGTTTCATTTTTCTACAATAGGAAAACTACTAAATAGAGCTTGAAGAAATGAAGAACATGACTGGACCAGAATACGTAGCTCACCAGAGAAGGTAATAATTTCCCATTCTTAAAGATGATGATGATAATGTTGTTCTTTATTGCTTTCCAATTCAATTCCTATGTGTTTAAGGAAAAGCAGTGGATTCTCTTGGTGTGCTTTGATGTATCGAGGGGTTACATGGCTCTTTATTTTCTTGAAGCTTTAAATGTCATTATACTTCTGTAGGAAATGTTATGGATTTTTGTCACTTATGGTCCTTTCCTATTTCTAATTTAATCCAGTTCAAAGAATTAGCATAAATACTCTCTAAAGATCTAATTTTTCAAAAGTTACAATTTGTGTTATTTGAAAATGAAACTTTTAAGTATAAGTTCTCTCTAAAGATCTGATTTTTAGCTTGAAATCCGAGTTCGACCGACCCAATCAAGAGCTTTGCTGCTTTTGCCCTACACCTCTGAAAGGTTTTTTCGACACTATGATAAGCATGAAACTTGATGAAGAGCCCAAGTACTCTAAGTTAATCTCTTTTTTTTGTTTTTGAAGTCGTTCACTTTCTTGATCTCCTGTCGTTGGAAGATCTAGAACAATTGCAGCAACATCAGCTGCTTTGCTGGAGGAGATGGTGGTAAGTTGGCTACACCGGAGGGTAACCATTGACTGTCTGAGCTGCTGCGGCAGCCGCCACTATCGCATGTTTTCCATTGTTTTAGGAAAAAAAGAGTCTGACAAGGATACGTGGGCTTGAAAAAAAGTACGCCTCACTCCCTTTTTATACACCCGATTCTGTTAGAAATTAGTATTCACTCAATTCGGGGACTCACAATCAATGGGTACCTTGTTGGGTATGCCTCATTTATTTCCTGTATTGAAAATCAGTAATCTTATTTTATCATGTTTAGTTGTTCCATTTTAGTTTGGCTCTGACAATCTGTGCATGCTACTCTTTTAGAATTTACTGATATAGTTATACTATTATAGGATCATAGTCTTTTTTATGTATTGTGTTAACTTGGTTTAGACAGTTAATTGCAACTAAACCTTATGACATCTACATGACTACAATGTTGCTGTTTGGTTGCTTTGAATAGGACTGGGTTATGGAACAATGGGACAAAGGCTTTGAGAGGCCATGTAAAGTACAAGAAGTCACTCTGCCTATGATACTCACTCTTCCACATAACTCTGCCTTTGATACTCACTCTTCCACATACTCTGCCTGTGATAGACATTCTGCACAAATTTTATTTTGATGTTGTATCATTATCCAAAATGTGTTGCCTTTTTAAAACCATTGTAATATGTATGCTGCATTAAGTTGCTCCACTAATATTTAAGTAAATGTTAAGTTATTATATGATATTAATATTTTGAATATATGATTTATTTTTGTTTTGTGATTAATATTTTATATTTGAAATAAATGTTAATTATTAATTATGGGTGCTTATGATTTAGAGAGACAACATAAAATAACTGCGTTTGAATAAACAATTTGACCACTGTTCAACTTGATAGTTTGAATTGTATGTCGGCAACTACACAAACCTGTAGTGTTAATCACTGCTACGCATCGGAAACACAATTGCTTGAAATGAAACAAAATAGTCTTCTATGTTCTAGATACACCTTAAAAACAACAGTTGTTTGATGCAAATATTTTTAGTGGTTTTTCAAGCAGTTGTTTGATAACCAATTCGATTACTACTCAAACATATAGTTTGAATATTTTAAGGACCACTAAACAAAATCATAGTGTTAATAATCGTTATACAACAAAAACAAATAGTTGTTTAAAATAAGAGCAAAGTAGTAGTCTTAATTTCTACATACAACACAAAAAAAAGTTGTTTGAAGAAAATATTTGTAGTGGTCTTCCGAGCAGCTGTCTAATAATCAATTACACTACTGTTCAAAAATATAGTTTGAATATTTTAAGGACAACTGGAAAAAAGCGTAGTGTTATTGCGCACTATACAATTGAAAAAAACGGTTGTTTAACATACAACAAAATTAGTAGTCTATGTTTTAGAAATATAACACTAGATAACAGTTTTTTGATACTATTTTTGTTTAGTAGTCTTCCGAGCAGCAGTCTGATATTTGTTTCAACTACTTTAAAAATTAGATATCTATACTTTTGACCAACAACACCAAATAATAGGAGTCTGAAGTCGAACACACCAGTAGTATATATTATAGATAGGCAACAAAAAATCACAATTGTCTTTAACTCTAAAAAACAGATGTCTTACTCATACGAGGACAACTTCAAAAACATGTACTCTGAAAAATCACAAAATAGGTGTTGTCAACCGTACCATACAATTGTTTTTAAACTGTAGTCTGTAAATATATCAGACAGCTGCTCGGAACGGAAGACTACTGAAACCAACACAGTTAGACAACTAAAAGAGACAGTTGTTAGCATCTATTTTTGACGTAGTGTTGGCAATATGGGGAGTCTCACATTTGGAGAAGAATGGTCCTTATCTTCAAAAACACACATTCAATTTCTCTCAATTACAAGAATACATGGATCCAGGTTATTTTATACATTTCTGTGTGGACCTTTCCTGTCTTGGTTCTTTCCCCACAGATCAAGCTATTTGGCAACCTAAACTTGATGGGGTATTCACCTTGAGGGCTGTCAAGTTCTTTCTCCAACCAAGTGGTCAGGCTAATTTTTACCTTAAACATTGTTGGCACACTTATATCCCCTTTAAAGTTTCATTTCTCTTTTGGCGTTTGTTTCTCAAGAAACTTCCCTTGGATTCTAATCTGCTGAGATTTGGGTATCTACTACCCTCCAGGTGTTTTTGTTGTCCCCATCCTTCCATGGAAACCACTGAACATGTTTTTGCACAAGGTGCTGTAGCACAAACTGATTGGAAGTATTTTTGTCATATGTTTGGCATCAGGAGCAGTTCTTTCACTATTACACAACACCTTTTTACCTAGTGGGGATCCAGCCCCCCCCCCCCTAAAAAACCCATTGTTAGGGAATTCATAAAGCATTATATTCCAGTTTTTATCCTTTTGGGAACTTTGGGTTCACTATGCTTCTCTTAAATATGGGGGGCAATCCATTAATATTGCTAGAGTTATTTTTAAAGTGAGACAAGATGCTAGTGAAGCAACATTTAAAAAATGGCCTCAATTAATGAATGCCCACAAGGATTGGAAGGCCATTTTTAAGTTGTCAGGCTCCTTGTCCAGAGGTTTTTGTTTTAAAAAAGTTTGTTGGCATCCCCCTCCTAGTAAACTCAAGGTATTTGTTTCCATGTTATCTTTGCAACACATTGGAGCTGTTGCTATTGTCAGGGATTCTAGGGGTCTGGTGCAATATGCTGCTGGTTATAAAGGGGGTCTTTCAGTAATGGAAATTCTTATACAATGCTTAATACAGATCCTCCAATGGTGTTTAGTTTCTGGATTGAGAGTATTTCAGTTTGAATCTGACTCTGATGTTCTTCTTCGCTTACTTAACCTTGCTGTGCCTATTACTACTGTGGAGAATATGCTCGGGTTGGCCTTTCTGTTAAGTTTTTGTGAATACTCTGTTCAATTGATTGATAGTGAGCCTAATAGAGTGGCAGGCTATTTGGTTAAATGGTGTTGTAACCAACTGCCATCCCAGTTTTGAAAGCTTTACTATATTTGATCTCCCTGTGGTTTGCCAACAACTTTGTCAACAAGATAACCTAAGTATGCCTAGCTTTTGTGCATCTTCTTCAGTTTAGGCACTTTTGGGGGGTACTTGGAGGAAGTTTAGCAGTCCTATCTTACTGGAGATATGGAGAACTTGGTTATTGGGTGAGCTCAATTTCCTTTTCCTATCTGCTAGGGGATAGTGTTTGCATGTTTGATGGAGTGGTTTAAGCCATTACTGGTTCTACTGAGGCTATGGAGAATATGGGTATTATAGGTGCGCTTTTAAAATATTTTCCTACCCTTGGTATGTATGGTTTGAGTAGTGGGAAGTGACGAGCTTGGATAGGCCTTTATTCCTCATTGTGAGAAGTGGTTACTTCCCTTGTGTGATTCCTTATATTTGGTTGTGGCGTAGTCTACTTTCCTTGGTACTTGTCCTTTTCCTTGACCTTCTTGTCGCACCGGTCATGCCTTGCTTACTTCATTTTGTGTTGGTTTGACCTTATTGTGGCACCGGTCATGCCTTGTTTACTTGATTTGGATTGTTTTGACCTTATTGTGGCTTTGGTCAAGCCTTAGACTAGTGATGTTTCTAGTTAGGACCTTATTGTGGCTTTGGTCAAGCCTTAGACTAGTGTTGTTGCTAGCTAGGACCTTATTGTGGCTTTGGTCAAGCCTTGTTCTAGGCTTCCCGGTCCCTTCTTTACTTATTGTATTCCCCGGAAGGTATGTCTTCCGTATGAGGGGCTGGCATTAGGCCTTGGTTTTGGTCCTCCCCTCATTTTGTAGTGACGAATATCTTAATAAAACTTGTTAAGGGTTGCCTAAAAAAATGTGATAGTCGATTGACACATTATCTTGAGGAAATTTTATTCATTCCCCCCGGCTTTGACACCCAACTTTGAGCCTTAAAGGGCCCTGCAAAAAAAGAGCTAAAAATGTCTCCGATGTTCAAGTTAGTAATGACCTAAAAAAATTAATGCACAAATTAGATCATTGTGGAGTTGAGAATTCTGAGTTCACTTCGAATGCGAAAGAACGGCTAATTGTTTCTCTGTTTCAACGAACTCAATTTCGACATCACCTTTGAGAACATGACATATTACATACATACATACATACATAACATATACATACATACATACATACAAACATACATACATACGTACATACATACATACATACATACATACATACATACATACATACATACATACATACATACATACATACATACATACATACATACATATACACACACACACACACACATACATACATACATACATAACATATATATACATATGTGTGTGTGTGTATAGGGTTTTTTGTTGCCACTTATTTTTTTCTCCAATGTAATTTGTGTTTTTTTGTATCTCCATGCTAAGTAGATCATTGCTCTTGTTACATTCATTCATCATATCAAAATAAGTTTTTATTGTGTAACTTGACTGACTTATCTGTTTCAAACGCACGTTGCCAATAAAAATAGAACCTTGAGCAAGCAATGAGAGAGTCCAGTCTCTCTCAACGATTTGCTAGTTCTGACAGTTCAACCATACAGTTCTATTCGGTAAGTGAATGACATCAAGTTGTCTGTTATGGGGAATTTCACCTCCTGCTCCTTCATTGAACTTGTCACTTCAATAATAGGTTCAACCAACTCCATGGAATGGCTAGAGATTATACGTTCTAGGTGGTTGTCTCCAACAATTGGTTCTTGATTCACAACGATCATTTCAGGAGTTATTGGGTTTCTAATAACAGGTGAGAGATTCATGTTCAATCCACGAGGATTCTCAAGGATTTGTTTCCTCACTTGTTCCTCTGTAGGAGCAACAACCTATATCATAGAAATAGGATTGATTGAAGAGGCACGCATGTAGAATATGCAAATTGTAATCAATATATTAAATGTATTAAATTATTAGATTTTAATACTATTTTAAATGTATGAATTTATATATTGTTCAATAAATTGTATTTTTTGAATTTATATTTATTTGGTAATCAACATAAGATAACAGATGTCTAATAAAAAAATCAACTATCATTCAAACTAATAGTTTGAAAAGTATATGTACAACTACACAAACCCGTAGTGTTAATAACATTTAGACAATCAAAACAAACAGTTGTTTGAAATACTACAAAATTAGTAGTTCATATTTTTTAAAATACAACGTGAAATAATAGTTGTCTGAAGCAAATTTCTTTAGTAATCTTTAGAGTAGCTGTCTGATAAACAATTCAACTACTATCATAAAAGATAGTTTGAATACTTCAAGGAAAACTACAAAAGACCATTGTGTTAATAATCAATATACAACTATAGCAAACACTAGTTTGAATAAGAATAATGTTAGTAGTCCCTAATCTAGAAATACAACAAAAGATAATAGTTGTACGCCTCATGCGATTTTTGTTTAGTAGTCTTCCGAGCAGTAGTCTGATACTCCGATATCTTTCAATTACTTTTTAAAGTAGATGTCTCTATTGTTGAATGACAACACCAAGAAATAGGAGTCTGAAGTTAAAAACAACAGTAGTATTCATTATAGATAGACAATAAAAAATCACAGTTCTCTTTAACTCTAAAAAACAGATGTCTTACTCATACAAGGACAACACTAAAAAGTCGTACTCTTAAACATTACAAAACAGTTGTCGTCAACCATTTTCCACAATTGTTTTTAAAGAATAGTCTGTAAATATATCAGACAGCTGCTCGGAAAACTACTGAAATCAGCACCGTGAGACTACTAAAAGAAACAGTTGTCAGCATCTGTTTTTGACATAGCTAGTGATGTATGAAGGTGCTGTGTTGATTTATGGGCTACTAATTCTGGGGCATTTTTTAGCTCAATTTGTATTTTTGTGGTACACTGGTGCAACGCAATGGTGAGTATTGCATCCATGGTAGCTTTCAATACACATTGCTCTAGGTTGAAACAAAGACGTGAGCCTCCGTAGAAGAATTGCCTTATTCATTTGCAAGTTCAAACACAATTTGTACTAGGGCTGGGTTGGAAAAACCGAAAACCGCAAACCGAACCGAAATCGATCGAAACGAGCTAGTAAAAAAACCGAACCGAAAAAACCGAAACCGAATGTAAAAAAACCAAACCGAACCGTTAGTATTTGGTTCTGTTTTGGTTTTCACTTTGAAAAACCGAACCGAACCGAATAAACCGAACTTTTTTAGATACTTTACTTTATTTATATGAATATATGTGATATGTAGAAAAATCATAGAAATATAAATGCAAATAAATTACTATTCGATTTAAATTATTTTCTCATCTATTAATTAAATATTCTAGCCATATTATTATAAACTTTAAAAAACTTAAGAATATATATGAACACCAATAGTAATCCTAATATAGAATCATATTAAGATTAAAAATTGATACGCGTAATTTACATATTTACATAAAAAATACTTTGATGTTATAATGAAATTGAAAGTATTATACAAAAAATATAAATTCTTCATAATTGATTTTACATACGATGTCTTTGGAAGTATTTAGAATCTTTTAAATGTTTGTTGGCACTCCACACATCTTTTTTATGTAAAATTAAACTAAAAGGAGCAATAACCTTCTGTTTGGTTTTTTGTTTTTGTGTAAAAATCAAACAAAAAAACCAAAGCTAACACTACATATTTTTATTGTTTCATCGAGTTAGTGTTTTATAATTTTTAATGCTTATAAATTTCTACTTTTATAAACCGAAAAAACCGAAATAAACCGAAATAAAAACCGTAAAAAACCGAACCGAATAACAAACGGTTTTCATATTTTTTATGCAAAACCGAACCGAATCGAACCGCCAATTTACCTTCCGTTTTGTCTTTGGTTTTGGGTAAAAACCGAACCGCCAAAACCGAACCCACCCCTAATTTGTACTTCATTACTCCGTATTTTTTTTAAATTTAGCTTGTCAATGCAAGTCGTACATTGTTAGCTTCATTGAAGCATGTTGTTGGGTTTGATGTTGTCAAGACTTTCGAGCACTTTGCTTCATTTTTAGGGAGTTTCAATCTTCCATTGTCTTGGTTTTTTCATCTCTAAATAGAAAATAAATGATATAATCCTTGCCATGAGATAAACAAAACAAATCAATTTTCCTTCGGTTGATTGCTTCTCAAATTTTCATCTGTTTTGACAATAATGTTGCTCAATTGTACAACCAAAAGATTTGTTATATGTGTAAATTTTTGTTTTCCATTGTTATGGTTTGGCATATAAGTGCAAGTGTTCTCTCCAACATTGTCTTTGACAATGCTCTAGTCTCCAATTATCTCTTTAATCTTGATTTTATTTACCATATTAGATTTAATTTCTGCTCTATGCTTTTTTGGTGTGAATTCTTCATCATTCTTAAAGAGTTGCAGTCATGGTGTTTGGGTCCTCTACGCAAATAGGTTCACATATCTGAATTCTTGACGAACATATTTTTTGCATTTTGAATTCTTTTTCTTTGTTATGATTTTTAGATTCAAGAAGGGTGAAAGATTTGACTAAGTAGCGTGGCAGCGACAACATGAAATAGACAAGAATCCCAAAGTGTGGAAACAACATGAAGCTGAAAAGAAGCCTATAGGCTATAGTAGCCACAAAAATCTAAGTTTGCAGAAAATCCTACCAATTTCTCCATCATGTTATGACTATTTCCATTTACAAAATTTTGAAGCCATTTACATTGCATATATGAGGTCATTGTTAAAGTGTATCCCACATTGGAAGTTCAAGAGTAAAATAATCGGTATATAAGCTCTTGAGTTAAACTAATTAATCGATTGGATTCAATCTTTTAATGTGGTTCAATCCAAGTGTCTTATTACCCAATAATCCAGTTGTCCATTATTCATCCTAAATTCTACTACCTCCGTTTCTCAAAAGAGTTCCTCTTTTGACTTTGGGGGAAAATAAGGAAGTGTTAAATTGTAGTTGACTTTCCAATTTTGCCCTTGATGTGATGGGTAAAAGTAAGATGTGATAGTTTAGTTGTTAGTGAAAAAGTATGATGTGATAGGTAGGGTATGAAAAAGTAGGGGTAAAAGTGGTTTTTTAATAGAAAGGGGAAGTGTTTTAAGAAAAACAAAAAAAAATGAAAGAGGAAGAGTTTTAAGAAACGGAGGGAGTATCGGTCATGATGATTCATAAGCCTCTCTTCTTTTTGTTCTATTATTTTTTTTATAAGCTTGAGAATTATAAAATCTCTATTAAGCATAATATTTTTTTTTTGTAGTATCAATTAATTGTGTATGAATATGGAAGACTTATTAATTATTCTGTTTTGTCCTATGTTACATATCAATTTGAATAATGTTAGAGTCACAAAGAGTTTGGACACAAACTACACCAACGTACCATTTGTGCACTTTTTCAAGTGAATAAAGTTCTTTGAAGTAATTGAAAATAAAATAAATACACAAACGACAAGTTTATGTAGCTTGTGTCTCAATTATTTGTGCAATCTATCGATTTCGTATTTCCTCCGCTCGTCAATTTTTTCCGATTCTAACGAGCGCAAAATATCATATCTTTTCAAATTCTTTTATTTGTAGATTCGTATAGAGATAAAAAAAATATTCCATACAAATTACATAATTCTGGAATACTTCAAAATTTTTATAAAATAAGATGTGACAAGAACTTCTTTTAATTAAATTATTTCAATTATTTGTGCACTCTATCGATTTCGTATTTCCTCCGCTCGTCAATTTTTTCCGATTCTAACGACGCACAAAATATCATATCTTTTCAAATTTTTTTATTTGTAGATTCGTATAGTTATAAAAAAAATATTCCATACAAATTACATAATTCTGGAATACTTCAAAATTTTTATAAAATAAGATGTGACAAAAACTTCTTTTAATTAAATTATCAATAAAAACATAAAAATAAATAAAAATTAAGTATAGCCCAGATAAAATATACAGAGAGAGTATTATTTATATTATGCATACCTGGAAACAATATTCATACCATGCATCGCATGAATTAAAATCTAGTTTTTTTTCAAAATGATCACGTTAAAAAGATTATACACCTTTATCATAAAATGAAACTTTACCTTCTTTATAGACACAAAGCATTCATTTAGTTGTTACTTTTGCAAAAGTTGCTAAAACAATCCAATTGTCTTCCCTTGACGGTGTTGTATTTATCATTAGAAAATTGGTGTTAAAAGCCATATTATTCGCCAATCTACGGCTCTTTTTGGAAAATGGCGTTTCAGAAGTCGTCAGAGCAGCAGGAATTTGGATGTTTGGGAAATAGCGTATGCTTTTAGCTATTTGAAGTAAACAGCCAAATTTCAAAAGGCCAAGAAGGAATAGGAAATACAGCCAAATTTTAAACAGCAAAGAACGAATAGGAAATTCTTCGCTGGACTTAATATTCATGTTCATCTTGACTTTAGTGTATTTGTACTACAAAAGAAGTGCGCTTTTAGCAAAATATAAAATATTCACATGCAAACCCATGAAAATGTGATAAAATGTACATTTTAAATGTGGACCTTAGAACTATGTAGACATCAATCCCAAAATTAACATCTTTTCTAGTAAAAAACATCATTTTGTAAGTCGTTCATACTTTTTAGTCTAAGAGCAAGGTTCCGTTGGCACAACAGATTGCATTGGCTCCAACTACAGCATTTATAGTGCTCCATTCGTGAAATGTATGGTCCTACCGTCTTAACGTTCTGGCTAAACTCCAGCCTCTGCCTGGCTCGAACCCACCCCCTAACCCCTTCAATTTCATCCAAATGCTCTTGTTAAATATGTTAAAGCAATATTACATATTTAATATATTTATTATTTATGGTAGACTCTATATTTGTACATGATTCTCCATAAATGTTGTTACCTTATTATGTACCCTCCTACATGTATATAAGGGGAGGTGAACACTTTGTAATTATCATTGAAATATACAATTCTTCATGGTATCAGAGCCAATCATAGGCTAACACCGAACCTCCTCCCATTCTTCTCTTTCCCAACGGCACAGCCCCTTCCCTCCAGTGTGGTTGCCGTGCTCTCTTCCTTCACCGGCAACAAATAGCCAGTGTTCTTCCTCCCTCGGCAGTCTCCCCTCTCCTATCTCACTATGTCTTCAGAAAAATCTCCCTCCTCTTCTAAGCCCACTGCAACTACTCCCCATCTTGCTTTCACGATGGTCTCCAACGTCAAACTCCAGGTTCCGATCACTCTCAGTTATTCGGAACCCAACTACAAAAAGTGGAGCCTCCTCTTTCTTCTTTTGGTTCAACGTTTTAATATCGAGGGCTTCATCACCGACGAGAGGCTCTCGGCCGGAAAAGATGATATCAAATGGCTTCAACTCGATGCACTCATTCAAGGATGGATCCTTTCCACAATCAACGATGAGGTCTCTGATCTCATCCTCTCCTCAGCCACATCTGCGGCGGATTTATGGAAAGCGACACATGATCTGTTTCATGATAACAAGGCGGCCAGAGCTATGCAATTGGAGCACCAATTCTACATCACTGTCAAAGGCACGTCCACCATCTCCACCTACTGTCAAACTCTCATAAATATTGCCGACTGGCTAGACGATGTGGACACCCCTGTTACTGAAAATCAACTTTCTCTTCAAACTCTACGCGGTCTCTCGGATGATCTCGGCAAACAGGCTTCCTTCCTTCAATTCCAAAAACCACCGCCCACGTTCTTGGAAACAAGATCGGCTCTCCTCTTATTAGAGAACCAACGCCGGCCTCTCGTTCCCACTGGTGACGGCGGCATGGCTCTTGCAGTGATCACCCATGGCAGAGGAGCAGGCCGCGCACTAGCAGTATCGGCGGACAGCAGATCGGGAAACCCGGCGGTGGTGGCCTGTTCCAGGGCGGCATCGGCGGAAGAGGACAGGCGGCAGGTGGTCGCGAAGGGCGACAGGCGCGCTGGCGTGGTCGCGGTCGGCACAACGGCGGAACTCCTCGGCAACCTCTTGGGCAAACCTGGCAGACACCTTTCCACTACCCAAACCCAAGCCTTTCAACTACCCAAGGGCTATTGGGCCCACGGCCCAATGCTTTCCCCTACCCGGCCCAAGCCTTTTTAACTCAACCCTCATATCCAAACTACCCAGCCCAATACCCATATGCCCACACCACACCCTCTTACCCA